ATGGGTTTCGTGGACAGACAATAACTACTTGGGGTGTGTCTACATGTAGATGGCTGTGAAGTAATTGTGGGCATGAAACTGAAGCTCAGAAAATCCTTCATGTTCTTAATCAGAAATAAAGCAGTATTAAGTCTGGTGCAGAGGGCTGTGAACTGACTGACTGGTCCGCACCAGTGAAATGTGAACCAGCAGAGGTCCAAAAATCCACCTAGAGATGAATTGTTTCAGCAGCATCTAAGCTGGCTTCTCTTCATTCCTTCCCAAGGTTCAATTACAGTTCTAAATTCTCAGTTGATGAGGCAGATACAAATTACCAGGTCATTCTTCACAGCCTAGGAGGCTAAGTTCTCTTTTTTTCCCAACCTTTTTTTTTTTTTTTTTTTGCATAGGATGTAGAGGTGAGGAAACAGCATGGCTTAGTCATTTCTGAAATGACTGGGTAATCTATTCATATATGTTGTGAGAAGTTCAATAGTAATCCAGAGATGAGGACAGAAAAATGCAGACTGGCAGCTCACATCCTCGAGAAACCAAATCTTCAGATCTAAAAGGTGTATTGTCAAGGTGACCTGGACTAAAAGACCTTTAATGTCTAATAGTATGAGAGGCAGCAGCACACATTGTCTACAGGATGTGGGCTGAACAAAATTTGAAGAATTTAATAATTTAAATGCATTAAAACCCACACATTCACCTCAAAATTAAGCCACACCTTGTGGGTGACAAACACTAAATTTCTGAGACCCCACCATTCACAAATTCCCTGACTGTAAAACACTGTTGTTCTTCCATCATATGGATTTGGTTTCAGCAGTCACTCAAAAACACATCTGCCAGTGCCCCTAACTAGCACTTTCAGCGCTCCTCTAAAAAGCTTTCAGAGGAGAGTTCTGAAAAGTAAAGTTAAAACATGTTACACCGATTCTTGCTGCAATCTCAGTACTATCCAGAGAGCTCAGTCAAGTGTGTGTGTGTGTGTGTGTGTCACAGTGTTCACTGGGGACTTGTGTGCAGTGGGGACTGTGGTACCAGATCTCCATGGTAGGATGTTCTCCAGCTTGTCCCATAGACTCACCATTCCCTCAGCTCTAAGGACGTGGAGCAGGTGGCGATCTCTGGTCTCTGTCCCTCATTTACCGAATCTCCCTCTCAGATTTTATCAAAGGAACCACAGTGATCTATTGCAACAGGACTTCCTAAACCAGCAAAGAAGAGGCAGGATTTGGGCTGCCCTGCACAGTTCATGGTGAAATGTCATTTGGTGATAAAGAGAACTCAACACAGTGATACTGAATCTCACAACTACGTGGGACTGTTTCCCCTCCCTAACTTCCAGATTTTAACACCCATGTCTCACAGGACAGAAAATTCAGAGGTTCTGATGTCTCCAGTGCCTGAAGCTTCTGCATTAAGAAGGAAACCTCGATATTCTTTGACAGACACAGAACCTAAAGGACCCCCTCCCGTATCAGGAGACAGGCTCGTTAGTGCAGGATGCATTGGCAGTTAAAGCACCACGGAAGAGAAAAAGCTGACCTGGCAGCCACAATGCATTCATTCAATTACTTTGGTGCTCATGTCCTCCTATGTACAGGACTTGCCCAGAAGCAGTTAAGGTATATACAGGCAGTTTTTTAAGCTGCAGCATACTGGAAGAAGACTGAAAGCAATAAGGAGTTCAATGCAGCTCAGAAACTGTCTTGCATGATTACTCTGTCTTCAAAAACCAAGTCAGGCACAAAGGGAAATAAAAATAACCAAGGCTGGAGCTTTGATGCTTCAAGAGAGGAAAAAAAAAAAGTCTGTGCCCTCTTTTCCAAGCACAAGTGAAAAACTACATTAACTAAAAAGAGTGCTTGGCCCCATGCACTGTGCCATATTGACAACAGCAACTGCAGTTTAATCAAAAAGCCTCTATTGGCAGAGCGTGGCACCTTGATGGTACCTTTAAATTCATAAACATCCCTCCCTAAGAGGGATGAATTTGCATGTTAGCTTGCAGAGAACCTTCCCCGTCAATGTAAAATCCTACAACTCCACTGCAGTCTGATGAGCTGTACTAGTAATTACTAGCAGGGAGTTTGTCCCAAAATCTCTGGGTGCAAACCAGGGCACACTTAAAAAAGCATTTTCTCACTCTGTCACTCCCACTCCCACCCCCACCCACCCATCTCCTGGAGTAAATTACAAGAAAACTGACTCTTCTCCATCATTCCCATTACTTAAGTGATCTTAAATTATTCAAAGGACTGGTTACTCTCCAGCCTTATTAATTCAAGCAGAAAGTGTGGAAAAGGGAAGACTGACAACACACAGAGCAATTCACTTCCTATATCCTAGCAAATATATACAAGGAATCCATTTTCCAGAAACCCAACCGGTACGCACGGTAAGTGGAGCAGAGCGCCCACCGTTGCAGGTTGCTTCACACGAAGAAGATGTCATGTCAAAAGAGTGCCAGGTAAGAAACAGCTGGGTGAAAGACTTATGTGACCGTGTGGATAAGTTACAAGGGGCTTCTCCTTCACTACAGAGCACCTATCCATCTTCCTCTCCGTATATACACACATATATACACACACATACACGCACACACAGAGATAGATGGATAGATATAAATACAGGTGTGCACACAGGCAAACACACATACATATATATATATATATTTATATATGTATATTTTCTTTTCCAGTTCTTGGAGTGGTTACAACTACTTTAGTCTACAAGGCATCCTAAGGGCACTTCCTGGCTCTAGCAATAAAGTCCATCATATTGTGGAGAGAAGTAAAGGGAGTATCATTGAGGGAGAAGAACGGAACAGTTTTCTATCTTGTATCATATCATGTAACACCTCTGAAAACTATCATTGTTGTTTCTGAGCCCAGATATTTTCTCCCTGTGTTCCGGGAGGGCAAATGTTCATCTTGTTCAGCTGCTGTGTACAGAGGTGCCACTATGTGATTTTTCCCTTTTCAGTGGATAAGTAGTTGCTTCCAAACAGTGTGGACTGTATGATAGATCATCATCCTATGCATCAATTTTTTGTTGGTTTGTTTAAAGGGAGATTAAAAGAGTTTTGCTTTCTTCTTCATGTCGTTGCGTCTCCAGAGAGGTAACTTGTCAAACTCCTGTATCGTCATGCCAAATATTTCTTGAAAAACTTCAGGCGCTAAGTGACGCTTAAAAAAAAAAAAAAAAAAAAAAAAAAAAAAAAAAAAAAAAAAAAAAAAAAAAAAAAAAAAAAAAAAAAAAAAAAAAGAAAAAAAAAAAAAGAAAGGAGAAAAGGCAATGGTCAGTCAAAGCCAAAGAGACATAAGAGGAGGTAGGAGTGCCTTAGAGATTTCATGTTGCTGTGTAAGAGCCACTGCTGGAAAAAATAATGCTTTGGCAATACATGCATCCAAGTCCTTATGAACTCGAGTGCCCAACGAATCAATTAAACATCGTAAGTTTTACGTGTGAGAAGTTTACAAAGGAAACCAGGGGAACTATTTCAGCTGCTGAATGAGCAAGAGACAGAAAAATTATTTGTCTGAAGTCATCCAACAAGCAGCGATAGAACAGAGAACAAAACCAGCTCCTGCACGCCCCTGTCCGAGGCTTTAGCAAGTCACCTCTGCTTACATATGGAAGTCCAAACAGACTGGGTTTCAGGAGAGCTCTGCAGAAGGGCTGCAGGTTGACATGCTACATTCAGAGTTCTGAGAAGGAAGATGTCTGGCCACACTAACTGTCCAGCACACTACTGCTACTGAAATATTTTTTGGTGCTGTCCTGTGCACAAGTTACCTCTTGTCCAGCCACTTTAGAGTTCACTGGATGGAACTAGAGTTCCCTGTAGCACTAATGTAAACCAGCATTGAATTCTGACTAGTGATCACGAACCTAGTAGTCTAAAAATGGGCATAAACCCAAATTACCCAAATTTTTGTGGCTCCTTCCATTCATCTCCACAGAAGATTGAGTAATTACAAACGACTTAAACATCCCCAGGATTCCACTGGGCTGCTTAAGTCTTTCTAATCCATAAAGTTGTAAATTATTTTTATTTGTTGGCAGTGATTTAAATTCTTGTATTTCTGGATATCATCCAATCTAACTAAGTCATAGGACTCGTGACTTTGGATTGTCAAGGACGGCTGACACTGACTCTCAGGTAAAAGATGATCCAAGATGGAACAAAGTATTGCTCCATTCCAATATGGAACCTATGACACCTGTGCAATTTTGGGCTTTTAAAAAACCCACGAGGATATTAATAAATGCTTGGAAACATAAGGGGTGAGAAGCTCAGTCCATGAGCAGGGAGACAGGGCCTCCCAGCTCAGCACAGTTCACGGAAATACGGCTGCTTCCTCCCAATGTCTGATTATTCTTTCCCTGATTAGTGCTGAGAAATCTTCCCAGTCTAGCCAGGACCCACACTTCAGTGTTTCAGCTGTCACAAACGATAAACAACTTCAGCAGGAAAGAGCATTTAGGAACTTGCTTCTCTTACCTCAAGCCTGGTTCTGTCTACATCTTTTAGTATTTTATTTCGCCCTCTGTTGGTCACCATGAGTATTTCATATGGAAAAATCTGTTAACAATGTATAAAAGGGGGAAAGAGAGATATTTATATTTATATTTATATTTATGGTCTAAAGCAGAAAGAACAAAATGTGTCTCATTTTCATAAACAAACAAACATTTGTTTTCTTTTTCAAAGGAAGTAACAGCTTCTTTTTTCCTTACCATTTTTTCCTAATGTTGCATGGAAGACAAGCCAATCTGGACATAGCCAGGGCTTATTAAGTATTGAACTGCCTCATATTGTGAAGCCACTATGTACTTGCCCACCCCACTCATTTTTATGTTGTATAAAATACATCCTCTGCCTTTGGTCAGACAGAGTCCTTTCTAGTCAATACACTTTCTCATCTACCAATGTAAAAGTTTATTAAAGTAACTGCATTTGCCACTCATTGGTCTAATGGTTGTCAAAGTGTGGACAGCTGTAAGGATAGACAATTAATGAGTGAACTTCAAAAAAAATAAAAAAAGAAAAAAAAAGGCCACTGCCACTGCATTCAATAGAATTTATCACAACATTTTCTTCACCTTTTTGGATAGTTAAAGAATTAAAAAAACTGCCCACTGTGTTTGCTGGCTGTGCCATACACACATGGATTAAAGGAGATACTTTTGTAGACATATTTGTCCTAAGAATCTTAATCTGCTTCAGAAGAGTATGTGTCCAGCACATCTCCCATTAACATTTCCCTGGATTTCCCTTTACACTGCAAAGAATGTCCAGAACTTAAACACATTCAGACACTGGCAAATAATCAATTCCTGACTGCGTGTTTTACATGCACAGTTCTTTAAAGTAAAATGTTTACTGTCAGTGGGTCTCAAATCAGCCTAATCCAACAGAAACAATGCTGCTTGGAAAGGGTTTGGAAAACCTCAAAATCGGTTCCTGGAATCATCCCTGGCAAATAAAACTCTCTTCTAGGATTTTTTTTTTCCTCAGGCAGACATTTCCATGCCTAGAATGACTTAGGAGAGCTTATGTTCCATCTGCCAGAGCCTTTCTAGAGCCTTCTCATCGCATGTCTCTGCAGACTGGGAAAGCAGCATTCCCAGACCCCTCACCCAACACCTACTGGGGTCAATGAAGTTTTTCTGTAAACTTCAGTTGTGACTGGCTCAGCCTTTACTGCTGTTTGTGGGTCTTGTATTCCTTGCCCACTGGGCACAGGAGTGAGACCACCAAAACTCCTCTGCAGAGAGTCTGAGCTATTATCAAATGTGATTAATTACATTATTTTAACATCAGAAGAAATTCAACTTAATCAACTTCTGTGCAGTAATCGGCAGTTAAGTTCATTCCATTGTTAACAGCTGTCCCAATGAACTTTCCAAAAATATAATAAATAACATTCAGGCATCAGTGAACACACCACTGAGTTTATTGTAAGTAATAGTAACTTAAATAACGTGTGCTTACATACCAATTGTAAGATATGATTCTTATGAGTTTCTGACATTGTCACAATTGTACAGTTAAGTCTATACTTGGAATTACATTGTTTATGTTTGATACTGGAAATGGCTACCATATACAGCATTATAGGAAACTAAAATGTAACTTTTCATATTTAAACAGGCAGAGTTTAAGTCAAGATCTACGGTCATAAATACATTTTATATTTAAATATTTGCAACAAGGCATGTCTCGATCTGGGTTGGCAGGATGCACAAATTCTGTCCTTTCTGGAAAAGATTTGGTCCTTCTTAAGTTTACTAATTTTTGCATGTGTTTCATGCTGACTTTGAATTAGCTTCTCTTACTTTATCAGGTTTATGTTAGTGTTGGCTCATTGACGTGAATAAAAATAGTGCCAATTCATACATGCTCAGAGTATGGCATCACCTTTATAAACATCAACAGAAAGTGATGGCTTATCTCATCAAAATTGCCATAAATTTTATCATTAATAATACTGACAGAATTTGTCACCCAAAATAACATCCCAAATCACTGGGTGCATCAACAGCAGTGGTGGCTTTAAAAATTTCTATTGCACTGAAAGAGAAATTATTTGGAATAAAAAGTAGTAGCTCAGGAGCTGATAATGTCCCCAAGGTCTTATTTATATAATACATAAAACCACTTGTAACTATACATTGCTCTGGGGTCTCAGCTTATAAAGCCAGGGTTATTGCCTTGTGCAGTTTGTCTGGAGGTGACTCGGAAGCACAGGTAGTCATCTGGTTTGCAAAACCAGCTCCTCACTTAACTGTAGAAATTCTGATCCTTGTAACTTTAGCAAAATCATGATTTCATGGAAGGTTCACCAGGAACAAAGATTTAAAACACAGCTCTGGTTTAATTCCCTCTATATATTATGTTCATTTTTGACTCAGACATCTCTAAACATAGCTGTAAAAGCATTTTAATTTGTATCTTAAATTATAATTAGCTGATATTGTCTCTTTTTCCAGTGAATCTCCTGAAGAGTTTCTCATATAGGGAATTCAACATTATTGACAGGTGGTCAGGCTAACAGTGCCGAGAGCTAAATAACAGCTCCAGACAAACATCCAATCAGAGATCCACGTATTTCCCTAATTGTTACATTATGACAGCCTCCACAGTGTGTTGTGAGCCACAATATTCTGCATCTCTTTTCAAAATGGACAGATCTGAGACCTTCCCACTGAGCCTGGCCTGCCACTCCGGCTAGTGAAAGTCTGACAGAGAACTGCCTATTGAGCACTTTCAGTATCCTTCAGGTTCTCTCTAGAAAAGCTTCCTTATCCCAGGAAGCTCCCCTGGGCTGCCCTCAGCCTGCCTGAGCACTAACACCTGTTAACAGGCAAACTCCAGAACAAAGGGAGAGGTTTGGCACAGAAGGAGCAGGGACTGAGGTGAGGTAAAGAAAAGCAAGGGAACTAAGACATTTCCCATATTTTATCTGCATTTCACAGTCAAATCTTCACTGTCTTGAAGGAAAGTGAATAACATCTGCACTTGCCTTTGGCTCCAACATGTTAGGCATAGATACTCCTCTGTCCATTCTCATTCCAGGGACATGACCATCCGGGAGGGACTGCATCAGATACAGGTATACATCAGACACAGAGGTTACACACACAGAGGGTAAAGGCACTCAAGTAGTGGTGAAAACAAAGGTGAATTTGCCCTGAGACTTCCTTCAAGTCTTACTACTTAGTCTTATTTGACAGATCATTGCCATGGCTACTGTTTGTTACTTCTCTGAGGCTCACAGAGGGATCCTTCCGTCCTCTCTGCCACCACAGCCTCCTGTCACTGCCAAGGCTGGTGAGAGCTCCCCACTGAGCCTACCAACATCACTTCCCAGCTGGACCTGGGCATCCCAAGAGAGTGGTAGGCCCTTTCCCATCCCAGTGACTAAATCAAGTTCTTCTCTAGTCAAATACACAGAAACATTAATTCAGATCCTCCCCAAGAGTATACAAAGCTCTCTTACACCTCTGGGCTTTCCTTCCTGTCATTTATCGTATCAACCGAGGGATTTTTTTTTTTGTTGTGGTTTTTTTTTGTTTTTTTGGTCTCTACAATGGGAAATTTTTACTATGAACACAAACAGGGATAGGGTAAAAGGTGCTGTTTTGGACAAAGGTACTGTTTCTAAGGAAATAACATTTGGAGCACAATACACGGACAACTCTGCTTCCCTCCCATAATCTTATTCTCTTTCCAATCATCATGATTTTGATACACCATTAACAAAATATCCAACTAATTAAACTCTTTTGCAAATTGCCATTTCACATTGCGATTGTGCTGAGGAGCCAGTCAGACTCAAACCATTCTGGAAAAAACCCTGCAGGCAGTATTTGAAGTTGAAGGGTTTCTATTTGCAAGCACACCTCTTTCTGGCTCATCTTTGATGGCAGCACTGTAGAAAACTATTGATCAGCCATCTTGTCTGGAGAGCAAATTCCACGGTAAAAATGAAGAGTTCAAAGCTCCTGCTACGGGAGAAAATTGCCTCCAGGAGAGACTTTCTATATGTCTCTGGGGCCAGTGCTAGAGAGGCTGAAAATAAATCCACCCTCACATGTCCAGAGATGACTACTACAGATAATTCATGTATAAACAGACAGTGGATTTTACAGAGCAAGTCACAGAACTGGTGTGAGCTGTCTCAACACGGCTCTGGGGAGGTAACAAGAAGGAATCCGAGGCTGTGCCCATTTTTTTGTGGATAAGAATCTACACTGGTGATTATGCTTAAACATGCAGGAAAACCAAAGCTATTGTCTTAAGAAACCCTTCCCTGTAGCAGAAATTCAGACTTGAACAAGTAGATGCTCTAGGTTCTGCAGTCAGTTGATTGATGAAAACCCGTACTCTACCTGGAAATCTGAAAAGCAAAAGAGAAATCTCATCAGCTTTGGAGTGTGGAAGAACAGGAATCAGTGACAACCTGCTAGATAATCCTTGTGTCTTCTGGTCTACCTGATCTTTCCAAAAACCTACCTGATTGTCTAGGGCCAGAAACCTTCCTAATTTTGGACTTAGTTTGTAGATTCAAACACTCCCAAGTATTGCAGTCCTTTTTATTTCGAGCAGGCTTCTCATTCAGGAAAAGCAGGTCACTTTGGCAATATTAAGAGATCCACAGCCACAATCAAGTGAATAAAGAGCCAATTAAAATTCAAATGTGTAGAGCAGGATTCAGCTCAAGTAACTTCTATCACAAGGGAGCTGTCTAGATTCCTCCACGGCCTATTAAGAGACACAAGCACCAACAGAAGATGCCTGACCATAGGGTATCTAAACTAGTCAGGATCAATCTCACTTTGGAAAATAACTCTCTCGCTCGAAACATTTCAAAACATTAACTCTTAAAGTGTCATAACTTTCACAAATATTACTGTCAATTTTTATCAGGCCATGACTGATACCCCATCTAGCTCAGTTATAATGAAGATCATGAGCAGCAGTGGGGATTAGAAGGCACTATCCATCCTTTCTTGGCTGGGGCACATTATTCAGACTACACACTGGATGGTGACTTTCAGAGACAGAAAACACCATATCAGAACTCAGTTCATATTCCTGATAATACACACGTTACTCACTTTCAATCTGATCCAATGCTAAAGCAATCCCTTGGCATAAACCAGATCAGTTCCACATAGCAGATTTGGCAAAATAAACCCAGCATTTCCTATAGGCATTTGAACTGTTTGAGTTAACTGTCAATTTTACCAGGGGAAGTAAAAAAGTACTGAGCAAACACAAAGTAACCACACCCACAACTTTAAAGTAAACCAGCAGAAATGATCCAATATCATAACAAAAAGGCTCCTCAGCCTTACCTCTAACAGCACCACTCACATCCCCGTAACTGTTGTACTGACCAAAATCTGTAGACACTGGCTGTAAAAGGAAAAGAGGAATATGCACATAAATTCACAGGTCATGACTTCACAAGCAGGTTGGTATATGGGACAAAATAAATTGCTTTATGTCTTTTACTTCCCTCTGAATTTTCACAACATTTCTTTGTGGGAGGGGAAATTAGGTTTTGTCTGACTTCGGCTGGTCTTATAAGAAACATTAATCAAACTGAAAGTCCAATGCAGTTAATATGGAAATAAATATCATGGATAATTAAAGCCACCTTTCGCTTCTCAAAATCACCATCTTCTTACCCTGTGAAGTCCATTTTTTCCATACCCAGGGAGAGAAGAGGTTTTGGAGGCTGAAGCATGTGCTGTTGGATGAGGAAGGGAAAATATTTTACTGGAAAAATCCCATGGAAACTCAAAAATTAGAACATTTGTGGAATGAACTAGCATAAAACACACAGTTAAAGTAGTCAAGCAGATATACAACCAACTAAGACACACTGACTTTAAGAAACTAATCTTTCAGCTCCAAACTCAACACAAACTTTCACACATTCTCTAAGTTACACGCAGCTTTTATCGTGCCATGGTGGTGGGTCATCAAGGAAGGGCACTGTGGTTTTGCCAGGCTCAAAATCAAAATATTCTCCACTGAGTTGAAAGTAACGCTCAAGGATCAGCCAACAGCACCAAAATAACTTTTTATTCCTTATCTAGATAAAGTTTTCCCGTGCAACTTAAGAAGGGACCAAGATAAAGCACAAGGAGAATCCAAGATCAGCAGGATTTGGACCAGTTTCCTGTTAAGTCTGCCATGCAGGTCCATTCAGTTCCACTCTCCTAACTGGCACATGTGGTTTATACATCATTATACCCTCTGAACCTTTCATGAATTTCCTGTCTATCCTTCCTACTCAACGATTATTGCACTCGTGCTCCCAGTTTCTGCTGCTGCCCAAGCCCAGATGCATGTGACCAGCACACTCCATTCTCTCTTATTCAAATGCTGGAGCTTGCCACTTGTTGCTACAATGGAGAAAAGGGTATTAGTTTTGGTCCTGTAACACTGTAGTTGACAGATGTTTGGATACTGACTTCAGTAGGAGAACTATGGGAATGGGCAGTGCTAAGTGAATTCAAACAAGTTGAGAATTTGGCATTCTGAACCAAAATTATAACTATTGAAATGTCAAGGGTGTGCTTTCAAACACAGATAAAAACGTGGATAAATATAAAGATTGTTAGCATAGTGATCAATAGCAACTCTCCAGTTAATACTGCTCCTTCAGACAAGATCCTCCAAATAAAAATGCAATTTTTTTGTGGTTTTTAATGTTATTTTTACCACAGAAGGGTGGGGAACGTAGAACTTGAGGCATTGTTGCTGCCAACAATTAGCAGCTTTGGGAAAGATGCCACTGATTCCATAAAAGGCAGCTGATGACTGCATTGATTATCTCTGCAAAAAGGGATGGGCACATCTCAAATAAAGGAGTCCTCCATCCTGTGCTAAGGTGGATAAAAAAATAAGCTCCAAGTTGAGCAGGTAGACTCTGGCCCTGTAAAAATTACAGACAGTGAGGGAGAGCCACAGGCATCTTCTCCAAGGCCATCAAGGCAACACACTTCTACACCAGGGAACACAAGGAAATCTTGGTCTGCTTGGCAGCTCCTCCAGAGACTCCAAAGAAACTCATCTTGTCCCTTCTTGACTCAAAGTACAGCTACAGTTACAATGCACAGCGAATGAAAAGAGCGGAATAAAATCTCCAAAACCTTCTCTAGAGGTCTAAGATGTATATCAAAATGTGGGATGAGGCAAAGATTTTAAGCTACCAATTAACCAAAGTTAACTTTTTTCCTTTGGCTCTGGAACAGAATACACCCAAATCAAAATGTCAGCCAAGATCAAAACTCTGGCTGTGTTCAAAATATGCAGCTCCTCTGGTCAGCATTGCTGATTATCTTTCCCTGGGAGAAGAGACTAAATAGGAATAAGAACCATCAGTTTAAGCAAAAGGTGCTATTGTACTTGAATAGCCCAGCCTATCAGCATGTATGTGATGTGACAGTCATCAAACACTTTAGCTCACTCCTTATCTATATTAGAAAATTTCTCTCCTCAAAATTGCCTGAAAATCCTCAACTTCATATTTCTTCTGATTAAAATCCAACCATGACACTCCTACCCTCACCAAAACCTGGTAATGAATTAGGCCACTCTTTCAGGGCAGATCATCACACACACACATTTCAAGCAGTCTTCCCAGTTGTCTCTCTTCTGGGACACTGCTTGATATGTGTAAAGACGGTGTTTATTAGTCACTGTTCATTATTAGCTCTATTGCCTACAGGAATTACCTGGAGAATCGTAACGACTGGCAGAAAGGGCTGACCTACCGCGACTCTCCTTTTCCATCTCTTCTTTCAATATTAACTGTCCCAGACCAGAGTTGAGCTATAAATGGCAATTAAAAGATATATCAGTGAAATAAAGCTGATCAAGACAGCGGTAGAAATAGCTTACAGAGAGCAAAGGGGCCATTTCTGCATGGTGTTCAGAAATAGCGTGAAGACAAACTCATAACCACCTTCATGAGCTGCTCCTCCTGCAGCTGCCGGCGCCTCTGTAGCTCCTCATCATCTTCCTCTCTTCCACTTGATCTGCGTCTCATGTCAGCTCCTGCTTCCATAAAACCACAGTACAGAGACAGCTTTGTGTACCAGTTCAACCACAGCTTGAAGATTTCAATGTCAGTTCAAAGCACTGGTCACTTTGATTTGCTGAATAAACAGAGCACTAATTTCTTGCAAAGTCGAAAGACTTTTTCAAAACTCTCTCTTAATAAAACTCACTTGGATAGCCCACCCTAGGGTTATCAGGCTTGCTGTAAAATAAACAAGAACTTAAACTGCACGTGAGCTCCAAACCAAGCAATGGTCCTGGATACAAAACCAGGATTCAATGTATTAGAGAAAAGGAGATCACACTGCTAGTTCTGGAAACATGGGGTTTAATAGCACCAGCAACTAGATCAGGAACTGAAAACTTAAACTCTGATTTACATTTACACTTTTATCAAGATTCAGAAAAGTAAATCTGAATTAACATTTGAAATGGAAAATTAAACTATTAGTCTCCTAAATGAATACTCATATTTGAAATAAAAAAGGCATTATTTTTAGTCTAAAATGAAGTAAAGTAATTTGATCCATTGGATAATGCTAAAATTAATTAAGACACAGGTGTTCTATCTTTTAGTTCCTTAGGTTTTATTGAATAATTTTTATTTTCTTGAATATTCTTAAGAAATAATCCAATTTGGATGCCAGGACTCTTCTGTGGATATATAGAATGTGATATTGCTGCGAGCATTTAGACAGCAGTTGTATTTTTTATTTCACAGGCTCTATATGATATAGCTATTTTCCAACCCTATGCTGGACAAACTCAGTGTTTCAAGTATGTAGATGTTTCAAATATGCAGATGTTTTATCCTTGTAACTCATGTTTGTCAGGCTGCAATCCTATCTACAGGACATGTTCAAAAAATTGCTGCTGCATGTGCAGCCCCTTCAGTCAGTCACTGAGCTCTCCCACCCTGTGTCTCCTCTCCCAGCACTTCTCTGAAGATCCCATTGTGATGAAAGCCATACATTCCTTCACAGAAACCTGAAATGAGCAACACCTTAGTGCTTCAGACAAGTCTTCATGAATGCACCAGGCTAGATAGCTTATTTTATGCTATAGGGGTAAATAAAAATTAACAGAGGAAAAAATACAAAGCCAAAAAAAAATCTAAAATGATGATGCACATGAATTAAAGAAAAAAAAAAGAGAGATATGTTTAGTGCTACAACACAGAAGAAAAATACAAGGTCTGAAAATGAGGACTTTATTTAGTCTGTTAATTGTTCCAATTCAGACATTGTTTCTTGCCATGAAATTAGTTGTGTGGTTGGAAGCAATAATATTTTCTGTGGCACAATTGCTATTAGCTTAGGACTAAAAGTTTAAATAGAATTACTGAAAGAAGTCAGGCTTGTGTGACACACCACATTTTTTAGGCTACTGCACTAGAGTTCACAAAATCTTTCTGTGGGTTAGTCTGTGTGATCGGTTCCAAAGTCCTTTAGCAAAACCTCTTCTGCTCAGGCAAATTCAACAGTTCCAGACATTCAGCTGTCTCACCAGAACAGCTGCACTTCATGGGGAACATCTGGAGTGGACACCACCTTTACTACCTGTTTTTTCAGCTCCACTATTGACCTGCTTTGGTTATCAGTACCTTTCAAGTCGCATGGCTGTACCGTTTGCTTTCGCATACCTATGGCAGCAAGGGAGGGAGGACCTGGCCAGTGGTCCATCTCAATCTTTGGTATCTCGTTGGGTGCTGGTGCGTGAGCTGCTGGGAACTTGGAGGACTTGATGATATCCTCGGAGGACTTGCTCTGTGCTGCCAAGGCAGCTGCATCTAGATGGCAATCAGGGAATTTAGCTACGTAATGATCTGTATCAATGCAAAGGTCTTCCTTACTCTGGCAAAATTTTACTCTTGACAAGAAGTTAATTTTCAAAAGCAAACATTTTCATGTTTCGCTGTTCTAATTGCAATTTGAAGCAAGGCAATGCCTTTCTCTTGCCAATAGGTTGGAATCAAACCCTCCTCCACTCCCACATTCCCACCCCCAAAATAACCCCAAATCAGTTTTGGATTTTACTAGGGTTTCACAGTGTAAGAATGATTAGCCAAGAGTGAAAAAAATTCACCCTGGGACTATTTGCCAATATCTCCTAAGGACAGCTGATTATTAATAAAGATGAACTCAGATTTATGTACTGATCTGTCTTCCCTCTAGGGCAAGAAAACAAACAGTTCAGAGGAACAGTACTAATTTTAACACTACTAATGATAATTATTTCCCATATTTCTGTGAAAAGCTGCAAAGCAAACAAAAAATAGAAACCTGAAACAAATATATTTAACTAGGGGACTTTTTTTTTTCTGCTGCATGCTCTTGCTTATAGCATGCAGTAGTAGTAAAAGCAGATGCAAACTTATTAATAAATACTCAACTGCATTCAGATCAACTTGGCTGGGAAAGGCACTTGCAATGCACTGAACCTCACCAATAAAACAGCTCAGCCATGGGCATCCACTTAAGATTCCATTCTAAGCCAAAGTCTTATGAAAGCATGTGAGGATGTGCATTATGGGTTTCACTTCTTGACGTAAAAAAGAAAAAAAAATCCAATAGGATTCAGTTTACATTAAACCCAGCCTTAACCACTTCTTAAGGTGCAAACTGTTAGCTCAAATCACCTTCGCTTATATGAAGCTATTGTATCAGGAGCAAGAGTTCTGGCCTTTTTTTCCTTTTCTCTTTTTGGTTTAAAAACAGAAAGACATCTGTTAACGAAGTTATGCGCTGTTCGCTCATCCAACACGTTCAGGGTAGTTTAGAAACATCAGTATTAGATATCATTGGTAATTCCGACCAGTTCATGACTGGGAAAACCTAAGCATAATTGCAGGCATGGAGGAAGAGTTTACAAAAGCATGACTTCAAACAGTACTTACGTATTAGAATTGGTGATGTCAGAGGTTAAACATTCACATGTTAATGGGAGGTGAGGAGATACATTAAAACCATATAAAAATAAACAGAAACAATGTTAAGACTTTTTCCAAAATGAGCATATGGTTTGAAACTTAAAAAAAGAAAGGAAAAAACCCTGATGCAATACCAGAGCAGTGTAATTTGCAATTCCTGACTGCAGAATGGACTTCTGGGCTTTCCTACTCAGCTCAGTTCAATGGCTCTCAGACAACTGCTCATCTAAACCCTGTAGTACTGCTAATTTGCCACTTAACCCTAAATACACTTCACTGGATAAAAAGTCTGCAAAAGAATGCCAACTCAGAGTCTTTAAGAAGTGGAGTCATCTGTCTTTCACCACAGTAAATAAAAGTCATCTCCTACGCACAGTTTTGTGTTCACAGCAGGAGGGAAGAGTGAACACACCCCACTGTAACAGGACCTTGTCCTGCAGTACTAATGACAGGCAAGGCAGTGGCCTTCTGCCATCACTGGCATTTCAGACTTGCTATAGCAACATCAACACCAAAAAGCTTAGTTCACTAACACTGCCGTCCAACTCAGAATCCAAACACCTGGAAAAACAAGTAGTGTGTACTACCTGGGGTGTCTCACAGGGCCTGAGAATTTAAAATCAACCCTCTCAGTGATAAGTGTCACTTGTAATTCCTTCACTAATTAAAGATTCTTATTTGAAGCCACAGATACATTCAGAATTCCAGTTTGATAACAACATCTCAATCTTTGCTGTTTAAATAAATTACACTGTGTCTGTTTGAAGTAAGGATATTGCAAGAATTCCCTGTCAGAGAAGACTTTGTTGTTAATGCATTTTAACATGACCAGTACCTGTATTTTGAAAATATAAATTTAAAGAAGTGAAATATTGAAAGGCATCATAATGCTAAAGAAACAGCAAAAGCCCAGCTAGTGGCAATTTTGCCATTAATATCCACATTAATCCAGATTAAACCATATGATCCAAATGAAACAACATGCTTTAAAACATAACCACTTGGCAGGACATGCAATAACAGCTGTTTCAAACTTTGACTACTAAACTCTTATGATTACGAAGTAAAAGCTGAATGCTTTTCACTAATCTGCACACCTTACAATTCATTTGACATTCCAGTTTTGAAATAAAAAAGGAAAAGATCATTTACCGTGTTGTTTGTAGATGGGCGGTTTCCTGTAAATGTTGACACCTTGATCTGTGATATTAAGACACAGAGAAAAGGGAATATGAAAACTACTTCTATTGTACGTAAAGATAAATCCAGCACTAAACCAAAAGACAGACCAAATCAAGGATGTAAACAAGAAGAAGCCAGAAAGCTATTTCTAGTATTATACAAAATCAGATTACTTAAAGAAAAGAAAACATAAGAACAAGTGAAGAGTCAAAGACATGTGGTATGAAGTCCTTTGGAGATAATTCTGTAACATGTAGATGCATCAAATCATGACTTTAAAGTGGAATAAAAGTTAGAGGAGAAATGTAAGCAGGCAAGACATTTCAATGATAAAGATACAAGCCATTTGGGGAAAACTACCCCAAATAACTTCTGGGGAAAATTGTGCTTCAGCTCAATTTTCTTTCCAGCTGACTGGCTGGACTGAGCAGAGGAGAATGCAGTGAGCCTATAATTCACTCCAAAATCCAGAGCACAAAATAGCTGCCTAGGACACTGTTTTGAACAGCCACACTTCAGTGAGTCAAAAGGGATGCTTTCTTTATGCAGTGTTAGCTGATATGCTACTGATTCTCAAACCACAAAGATAGATTTTATTACTTTTTTTGTGACTTTTTTTTGGTGACTTTTTCATGTAAGGCCCACCACATTGCATATCATCTAAGTAAATCAGAAAAAAAAAAACTTCCCAGAACTCTAATGCAGTACTTCTACAGCATGTCTAAAAGATACCACATTTTTACAAACAAAAATCTAGGACAGGAACCATTTTGTTCTAAACTACCTTCCCACCCAAGCCAACACTTCATGTATTCAGCACAGCTACAAATACAAAAGTTAATCCAAAATCAACGCTACAGTGAAAAAATGTGCCAAAGTCTCATTAGAAGACCAAAATGAGCCACTGGGAACTAGCAAATTAACATCAGAAACCCATTTTGCTACTTTGTTCTGCCTGAAAAAAGTTTTCAGTTACAACAGAATGAGAGATGAAAAGGAATTTCAGAAATACATGCAGTATATCACAGATCCAATTAAAGTGCTACAGAAGACAACTCTGCCTTTGGCATTAGGGAAAGCTTACCCCCAAAAAATCTACTGAAACAGAGAGGCAAATCTTGCTCTGCAAAGCCCTACATCCTTAACTACGCAGGCAAAGGCGTTGCACTCAAAGACACTGCGGTATCTCACTCCTGCGTGTGATCTGTTATGGCCACTTGACCAGCAAATAGGTACAAACATCACCAGGGCAGTCATGCAGTGCTTTTGCGCACATCTACACCACGAAGCCGTGAGTGGGACAGGAGCACAGCTCCTTCTGTGGCTGCACCACTCTCCCATCGCGCTCGAGGTTATTTACAGATGCTCATGCTTCGGCTGACGCGAGTCCAAGTGAGCCAGGTTAGCTTAAGCGGTTAAACCAGCCAACCTTAGCCAGGCCAGGTCACGCTGGGACTGAGGGCAGTGAGCACAAACAGTTCATTTGCCAGATTGGAGGAATGGAGGAGGAGCAGTAACCTCTGGCAGTGTGGAGGGAGGGACGCTAGGCTGAAGGGGACCTGAAGAATAACTGGATATAATAAGGCTTTCAAGGTAGCACTGATGCAGTCAGATGCATGTCCACAACCCTATGGGGACACAGCCTCATCCCATCAAAATCCAAGATAGATGATCTTCTCAGATGCTGGAATAACTGTGCTGCTCACTTCAAAACAGAGACTGCCTTTTATAGAGAGGACATCCCAAGGCATATATACCCTTGTGGATCTGCAGGTACGTCTGAGGACACCACGCCATTGCACAAAACAACTAAAGAAACATCCTCCCCTGCTTTAAAAAAAAAAGGAACACTAAACTAGAACTACTGGGTTCAAGACTGAAACAAGTCACAGCAATCTGAGTGAACAACATACGTAATGTTGTTCATACATAATGCCTCACTGGCCACCTCTTTTCTGTATCAAGATCGATCCATCAAAACCAGCTCCTAAAATTAGCAGAGCTATGCTGGTGCTCAGCTGGTGCAACTGGGAGAAAAATCAAGCCCTACATAGCTCCTATACAGCTCACAGGCCAAAACCAGACTCTGAAAACCAAGACATTCTAACAGCGAAACACCCGACCAACAGAACAGGCAAAAATCCCAACGAAGCCCCGTATTTCTTAAGGCACTACTCCTCTCAGCAAGCCGAGAAGCAGTTCCAAACCCTGAGGGTGAAACCCATGGTAAACAGCGTGAAACGATGGAGGAGACGAGACAGAAGTTACAAAGGCTACATTCTACACTGTGACAGGAACACCAAGACACGTACAGTGCCAGCTCCTACCTGGAACATGGAAATGTTTAGGGGCCTGAGCGTAAGTTGGAGTGAGAGGGCGACTGTCAGGCCGATAGGGGACAGGGGAGTTCCGACCGCTGGACGGCTCATTGCCTCCAATGAGAAAATGGAGAAAACAAAATGAGAAGAGGGAGAGCGATCAAAAAAAAAAATAATTAAATAAAATAAAAAAAAAACCAAGCCCAATCACACCCAAACAAAACTGGTGGAATCGAAACTTCCAGGAAGAAAAGAAGTTGAACGAAAAATAAAAATAAAAACAATAAGGAGAACTGGTAGCCCTGGTGACTTTTTTTTTATCCCCCTGATATTCCTGCAGAGACAAAAATTCATGTTCAGGCTGGAGTTGAGTTTTGAGCAGCTCAGACTCATTCTGACGGCATGCAGGCAGGAGCTGTGTGCTCAGAGCTGGTGCTTAGATGGGCAGTGCGGAAAAGAAGAATGGAAGGTTACTTGGCAATCAATTTTTAGTATGGAGATTGATATTTGGAATTCAAAGGCGCAAACATGGAGCACAGTATTTGATATGCAAACTGAAAGCAGATAGAAGCAGATGCTGGCAGTTACTACAGTTCACTAATCCAAAAGTGTACAGAAACTAGAAACAGAAAATAGCTGTTAGGTCACTTGGCCCATATCAAAAGGCATAACTGTTCATTACACACTCTTTCACTGGTTTAGGAAAATTCTGATACGCCAAAATAATTTGTAAAGCAGTGCAGCCCATCTGGTGGCTGCACCCACATCGTTGGTGCCCCTCCAAATCTCTGCCAATGCCGAACTGGGCTCTGATGACAATACTTCACCACTGCTGATTTTGCAAACCTGAATCTAATGCCTAAAAGCTTCAGTTCCATTTTTGCACATACTATTTGTTCCACTTGTAGGATTACTCTTACTGGAACTGCTTTGCCTCCTAACAATGCACCTCAGCAATCCAATGGCCCTGAAAGTTCCTATGTCTTGCCAGAGCAAGTTGCAGAACCATGCTGGTTGATCCCCAAATATCAGGACTTAGCAGCCAGATATCCAAACACACGGCTGTGTGTGTACCTTAAAAAAATGCTGCTGCCTTTTACACTGTGCCGTTCTTCATACTAGGGAGAACCATCCACATGGGTGATTATTTTACGTGAGTGAGGGTGATTACAATAGTGAAAAGTAGGGGAACATTGAGCCCCTTCCATTTTTCAAATATGCATAAGGGCTTAAAAAACCCTAGGAAAGCTGATTAAGAAAAAAAAAATGGAGTAGGGGGGTGGTGAGAATGATAACAAGTACAGGAGAGCTATGAAACACAAGAAAAAGGAAATTGCAGGCCTCCTTTCACCTACAGGTTTCCTATGTCCTTTTAGAAGACCCAAAACATTGGATTCAGCGCATTTCTTATTTATACATTTGGGGTGGGAGAAGAAAAAAAGAAGTTTTCTGTACAATTTACACAAAAAAATCCTTTTACTTGAACAGTCATGTGCCAATCTAAAAGGCACCAAAAGGGAGAAAAAAATGCTCTTTACAAATGTTGCTGAAAGAGATGTGCCACAGAGGCCTCTGCTGGTACACGAGTTAGCCCATCTGCATATACATGCTTTATAAATTACATGCCCATTTCAGGGGGCTTGGTTGTACAAAATTTTTCCAGAAGAATGCATGTGCAAAATTCTGTATTTACCACTTCGACATTTCAGCCCTAAAAGACATGTTCTTTCAACCACATGACTTGATAGTGGTTTTCTATTTCGGGTGCAGCGATGCTGAGCTTCTGGCCAAGTAACAGTAAGTGCTAGGTCTACTAACTCTGAAAAGCAGTATGAATGATTAATTATAAAACCTTTTTGTCATATCTCAATCTATGGTCCTTTACTTACAAATTCCAGTAGTGTGTTCTACTTCTCCAGCCTTTGAGATATTGTGATGGTGAAACACCTCACTTGGTTAAGCTGATTTTACTTAAGTGTTTTGTTTGTATTGAGAAATTATGAGTTAATTTTCAGCAAAATCATTGTTCTACAAGGAAAAAAAAAAACCCTCATCAATATTGATATAGTCTCAAGATGTAGAGACATGCCTCTCCACCTTTCTGCTTCCATTAGCAATTAGTACACTCAGTGAAAGAGAAGAAACAAAAGGGATTTATTGACCTTTGGACTTGTCACAACAGAGGAGTCACAAATACATTTTACCTGTTGGGAACTGGGAGTCAAAATGTGGGCATGTTCAATTTGCAAAGCTAAAAATACAGGGAAGAAACCCTTCTTATACCCCTCTCTACCTCAACCAGACACAACTAAGTAGCTCCCACCCATAAATGTGTGCTGGCTAATCTTGTATCCGGGACACAGATCATTTGTTCAGAGGGAACTGGTAATGCTGTATAATACATCCAGTACCAGACAATTACTGTGGCACCATCCTGTAAAGCATATGATGCTTTATAGATGTCTCTGCTGGCTTGTATTTCCTGGGGTTCCTATGCAGTCTCTCTCTTCCAAATTACTCCTACCAGTAGTGACAAATAACTCTCCTTTACACTTTCTAGGATGGCAGACTCATTACCTCCAACCTCTGCAGGAGGGAATGGTTCATCTACTTAGCTTCTCATTAGACCATCCCTGAGGAGATCACACTCATAAGGAGGCTTAAGTGCTTCAGATGCAGCTGTAAAATCACCCACAGTTTATGGAAGCAGTGCCAACATCTGCAGAATGTGCACATGCACACGGGCCAGCAGAGCTCCTGGCTGCCTGCACCTGCCTCCCAGGGCCTGCTTGCAGCTTTACATAAAAGCAGGGGCTCTGCATGCCCTGAATTTGGGTTCCTTGCTGTGCCTGCACAGGAAAGTCTCTCTCTTACTGTCTCAGATGTGCTGTAACTATTGTTAACTCCCCAAAGCAACAAGAGCACTCCAGTTCACCAACACCACAGAAAGAACTAGCTCCCACATTCAACATAAAGTTGAATATGTGTGTTTGTGTAGGTTGGGGGGTTGAAGGTTAAGAAATAACAGAATAAACTTCATATAAAAATGAACCCCTAGAGCGCAGAAGCCTCAGAAGTGAAATTCAGAGGCTTTTCTTCTTTCTTTCATTCTCTTTGCTCCATCAGGTAGTTCTTGTTTTCTACAGCTCAATTTGTTAAGCATGTTGCCATAGCAGTCAGGAATATAATTGCTTGCCTCTACACTGCACAGTGTAATGCAGGTTCCTGCTGCCTTCTGAAGTGCTTTCCACTGGGCTCACTGTGTGATTCACAAGCTCAGCTCACAGAATCAGGACAGAAAACCCACAGGCAACCAACACTGAGCCTTCTGTCAGCTTGCAGTCTAATTGCTCTACTTCTCAATAAACATACGAAAATAAGCTCAAAAGTACCTGAAACCCTAAGTCCTATCCAGATTTTGTCAAATTGTCATTCATCATCTTGTCCAGATCCGTAGCTCTTATTTCACACACAAAACCAAAAATCATGGAGCAGCCAAAACTGCTGTCTTCCAGAGCAGAACTTTCAGCTGCATCCACAAAACCCTGGAAATATGGTTATCATGTCCAGAGAGCACATGGTTTCAGAGACCTGCCTCAATGAAGGAAGGAAGGAACCCGTGAAAACCAAGGCCCAAATTCACTATGAAGGTGGGTAGATTCCTCACAGGAAGGGTCTGTGAGCAAAGGAATACACAATACTTTGGAGCTCTCTCCATGGAAATCTTATGGGAGCTTTGCAATATACTTGAATGCCTTTGAAAAATTCTAGGCATGTGAGATGAAATCCTGGCTCTCAATAAGACTTTTGTCTCTGATTTCAGAAGGGTCAGGGTTTCTTTCATTTGTGGACTTGTTTTGATTCTTTCATAGCAAAGACAGTACAGTACTTTATTGAGAAAAGACCAAATTCAATGGGGAGTCCAAATCAGACTAGATGAAGTCTAAGCTGATGCATATTAGATGCTCTTCCAGCTTGTTCAACATGTATGTTCCATCAACAAACTCTCACTAAGACTTACTGAGGCATATTTAGTCCCTTTCACTCCTCCAACTTCTTGACTTGTGCCTTTAAGCCTTATGCTGTACAAAAACACACTGAAACTCGTCTAAATATCTACTTTTTTGGCTTGATTATACAAAATAATAGAAGTGTAATGTGTCATATGACACTTTAATTATCATTATGCCATTTGGAAACCATGCCCCTTTACCAAAGCAGTTTAGGCACGATCCATATTTTATGACTCTTAAAGGAAAAAACCCTAAAACTATAGTTTTATGAAATCTTTCTTTAAAACTTACATCAAGTTCACCTTCTCACTAAAAGTACAAGTGAGAAATGCTAAGTAAAAAGGAGATCACATGATGCCTCTTTTTTTAATCACTAAAAATGTATCCATCACATCTAATTAACTCCAAACAGTGCTGCTGTCCTCATTTCAGATATGTTTACAAGTTCTAATTCCTTATTAGACACAGAAATGTTACTCCAGAAAAAGGAATGCAGTTCTTCAAACTTTGAAAACAGACACTCAGAATTACCCAAAGCAATCCCTTAAAGGTAAAAATACCAGGGAGCTGCATTAGATGCAGCCAGTGCCAGAATGATCTCCCTTTTCTGCTGCACTGTGCTTCTTTCTCTCAACCAGCTATTTCAAGGCTGCTCTTTCAGTTCAGCCAAGTGAATGACAAGACATGGGTACCTGCTACTTGCCCCTTCTCACGTGTATGACATCCTTGGGTGGTGAACACTGTCACAGTGACATGAGCTTGAGCTTTCAGGAGCTTTGCCGAGTTACGACACACAAATGATGCCCAGGCCTTCAGAAAACTGGGGATTCTTACAACATCTTCCATGGCATAGCTGATAAAAACCACCCCTTTGTCTACAGCACTTGCAATCCCACTTGGCCTTTTGTGCCAATAACCGAGATAGACACCTGATCTATACACCAGGTAATTCTTTGAAATCTGAAAACAATAAGCATGGATTTCCAATAGTTCTTCTCATTTATCTGATGAAGAAACTATTTTCTCAACTGAAAAAGAATGAAAATGCCACCTGAAAGAGTGTGAGCATTAATTTTTATTTACAGCAAAGAAATGTTGAAATTGCAAGGACTATGAATTAACTGCATGCTGAAATGAGCACTGTATCTATTTTTAAGGGTCCCAATTTTTTTTAAGTGAGGTATTTTTTTAAATACTGGCATAATAGGAAAGTGGACAGTGCAGATTAACAAAAATCATCTAAGAAAAGGCAAGAATAAAATTAGTAATGGTGATTTGAATGCCTAAAGACGTACGATCTATTAGCATTTCTTGAAGGTTCATGGCAACAAGTTTCCTGAAACTGCTTTTGATTATCTCCAATTTATGATTATCTACATTCATCAATGGTGCCAGATTACAATCTATGTTCAGCTTACTCAGCTGCCTCTTTTGAGTTCTTGTAGGTGATATTAACTGTGACCTTCTCCCCCAGCAGAAGAGATGGCCCAATCACAGTGCTCCAGTAGAATTAACATAAACCTACATTAAAGAAAGCAAGAAACAAAACTAAATCTTAATGAGCTAAAAATTAGTTCCTTGAAGGGGTACAATAACATAACAAACCTTCTCCAAATCAAATAATTGGAAAAAAAGATTTAGAAAAAGATCAGATCCTTAAATAATGTAAATCCTAGCAATGCTACTGCCTTTAGCAGAGCCTGCCAATTCACACGAGGTGAAGAGAGGCCTAGAGATTTTAACTTTACTTTGCTGGGCACTGATCATTGCCGATGTGGACAATAAAGATTAACTGCATTGTTGCCATTGGTATTTATATAATCTTTTTCTTCTCCATATTTTTGATCACCTTGCTCTCATTCAGGCAATAGTGTGGTCAGTTTTTCAATGCATGCTTTAAGAATGTGGAAGTAACAATTAAATTTGATATGCTAACTGCTGAAGTGATTGTTATGTACTGCTTTGGAAAGAAGCTAAACCAGGCATGTACAGGTTCTAAACAGCAAATGGCAGTGGTTTTCTGTGTGTTTCTACCAGGTAAATGCTCGGTGGCTCTTCAACTAGGGCCCTTAGAAATGACATATTTCCTCCAAAAAAAAGGACATTATGTCTATTCTAACGTAGTTCTAAGTGCAAACAGCACATTTCGAGGCATGCTCAGCTACACAGCCAACGACCACCTTAACGGAGATAACACCTATTAGCTCTGGCAGAAGGCTAATAAATCTCCAGCCTGGAGGGTACTCCCTGGAGAGGCCTGGCTCCTTACCTTTGACATGGGGGATGAAGTGGTGTCGGAAGGGGGAGTTGGGGCGGGAGTCATGGTGAGAGGAGCTGAGACTGCTCGTGCGCAGGTATGACAAGCGCTGCACACCAGTAGGGAGCAGCTCTGCGGCAGCAGGGAGTCGGGGGACAGAACACAATGAAAACAAAGAAAAACAATAAGAGAAAGGCAGGGAAGGAGGCTTCAGAGGAAGGGGAAAGAAAAAAAGGCATTGAACAATTAGGATTCTGAAAAGAAGGAAGGAGAAAAACAAAAAAAAAGGTTAAAGACGTACCAAAGGGCTCATAAATGTTAGACAAAGTTACAGGAATTAGAAGAGAGGCTTAGATTTGAACTGCATCACTGATTAAGCATAACATTACTGGCTTAATGAGCTTCTGATCTATGCCTCGTTACCTGAAAGTAGCTTGCTACCAGCATGCAAACATCACAAACATTGACGCTCAATTAGTTAAGAAAGCAGCTGGTTTGGAAAATGCCTGACCAAAAAATGTCAGCCAAGAGGCATGCAAGCTGTTTTCCATTGTTTTGAGACATTCCCAAAATGCTGCCAACATCAGCTAGGGCACTGCAGGAGGAAAAGGCTGCAAACTTTTTCAGAACTTGTAGCACTCAATTTTTGAAGAACCTTATGCTGACAGCAGTTCACTTCTCTCTCAAGGGCCAGCTGGGAGCAAAAGAGAAGTTATCTGGGGCCACTGGGTTTATTCAGACAGACATTATTCTTGCAAATAACACGGTGAAAAGAAGTGCCATTAGGAGAAAACAGGTAAACATACATGTGCTACTATTCAACATGAATTTTTGTAGGAAAATAATTATTGTAGGAAAATTATTAAAGTAGTGTTAGCGATTACCCCAAAGCAGGGTAGAAAACATCAAATGATGAATTTGACAGAATTGCTTCTGTGTCGTGTGAGGAACAGTAACAGGTGAGCCCAAGATGAGAACATCTGAACAGAGGTAAGTTTGAACAAATATCTTCTCAGAAAATCCCCCAGGGTGTGGACTTCTGAAGATTTTATATTTGGATGCAAACTCTGGCTTGAGCACATCTGCCCATCAGAAGAGTTACATCAACAGAGACTGCTTCTGGGGAAGGTCTTTGACTGAACACAGGCAGTAAAACTCAATCACAGTAGAGTCTGGTATAGGACCTGGATTTGTTCATACCTCTGATACAACTGATATAAATGGAAAAATCTCCTCAGAATCGTCAGAATCAAGAGACAGAAGTTTGCAGCTTTTTCACGCTTTCAAGTCTCTTTCAGTTTCAGTTATAACGTCATCTTAAAACACAGTCATGTTGTCAGCACCAAGTATCAGACACAATTTGCTTCTGTCCCACCTCCCCTGGGTCCTGTAAATAAGGCATTCACTGACAGACACAATTGGCTGCTTTCAGCCCACCCCCACTAGGAAATGGCTGCAGCATTCAAGTTCCACAGTGGTGGCTCTATTATAAATCTTTAATTTTAAAAATGCAGCTCCTATTGCATATGGGCTTTTGGCATCCCAACTGTTCAGCTGTAATCACCAAGGAAGATGAAACCGTGCGATTGTATCACTTAATTTAAAAACAGATTACAAAGATTTAATTCATTACCATACACAATAAAATCAGTCTTGAAAAGTCTTCAATGAGGAGCATTTAACGATACATTTTTATGCTGCTTGGGTGTGGATGAATAGTTCATTTTTATGTCTAGCTTTTATATACACAACTGGTAATTTTGAATGCACTGGGAACCTGAATGACCTGTACATTTTCTAGACTGCACACAGAACTTGTACATCACTGCTAAACCAGAAAATGAAGTTTGTGTTTTCAAGTGTTCCCAGGCAATTGCCTATGGCTTTAAGAAAGATACCTTGTGAACCATGAGTCCGTGCTTTAAAAAATGACTAGCAATTTGGAACATATGGCTGTTTTGCTGCTGAATATGAGGTTCTATGGCAGCACCAAGCTTTAAGTAAATTTTTTAGGAGGGAGTAAACCTACATTACTGGCTTCTGTATAGTCAAGCCATAATTTTTGTTTCCAATATGTGATACTTTTTCCAAATTCCAGAATGAAGTTTATGATTCAGTGCTGCAAATTTTTGCTTGCTTTCGGAAACATATATTTAAAAAATAATTGATTGGAAACAAAACCAGAAGATACATATTTATGACATAAGCAACGCTCATTAGCCTAGTGCAAAAGACTACGACAGTCAAGAACAAAAAAAAAAAAAAAAAAAAAAAAAAAAAAAAAAAGATAGAAAACGAGATATTAAAATATGCAACGGTTTTTCAATCCTGAATTTTCACTCCTAAAACATACGAGTGCTTCACTGCCCCAGTAAGTGGCATAATAAAGAACCAATAGTTTTACATATACTCCTACTGCAGTTGCCCTTACCAGGTCTGTGGAAATGCTGAGGGGAGCGTGACATGGTGGGTGTGTAGCTGTGACGACTGTACACGGGAGAATTGATGGAGCCCTGACTAGTAGACCTGTGGATCATGCGATCCCGAACATCCTGGTAGCCCTGCAGAAGAAAAAGCGTTCACTGATGAATGTAAATGCACATTACACACCTTTAGCAGCACCTTAACCTCCTTGGATCTGAAGGCATCAGCAGAAGCTACTGAAATAGCAACATCCCTTTCAACTTTCAACCTACTTCATTATTGCTGTTCTTCCAGTGACCTGTTCCAAAGAGTCCAATCCATTTTTATAGTCAAGGACAGAGTTCATTCTTGGAAGGTTCCAACTCCACCTGCAATTTCTGTTAAATTCTATATAATCCTAGATTTGCCCACATTCCCTGACTCCATAAGGGAAACTACAGCCAGAATATGTCTGTCCTGCACAAGACATATGAGCTTGCCTTCAGCTGGTTAACCTGGCAGCAAGAATTCAATAGCTACAGCAAAGAGCTCTCTGGCTAAATTTACCAGGTGTCACAACTAGCCACATCAAGAGTTATTTACTATCCAAAATAGATTCCCCTTGTATCAGAAAACATGACAGCTTCTCATATAGCAAAATTCAATTTACTTGGTTTCCTAGGGAAAAAAAACAACAAAAGAAAGAAACAGGAAAAAAAAAAAACCTCAAAACAAACCCATCCCCCCAAAACCCCACGAAGCAAAGCAAACCAGGACAAAAGGGAAAGGACTAATGTTAATGCATGAAGATTTACAAGAAATTTTATAGTCACTTTTTAAGCACGTAACAATCAATACAACTTTTAAGTTGCAAAAAAACAACACTCTTCACCCCCAAAATGATAATGCATAAGCATCTATTGTATCCTGGCAAAGTACTTCCCAAACGTTTCATGTATTCATTTCGTTTCATTATGATGTTCAAATTAACTCCTATGCAAAAACAAATTAAACCATAGTTCTGTTTTCTTCGAGACGAAACTGCAAATGTTTCAGTAGCAATAACATGGGTTATCATTCAGTTGCTTAGAGTAGCATTTTATCTCATGTAAATCATCCAGCTCCCAGGATCTGAATCTGCCTGTAGCACAGGAAGGAGGAATGTACCAGAAGTGACGCCTGCTGGACAAAGTGCTCTGCTTTCCAAACAGCAATACAGAAGGAGTGGCAGCTTCATGTTTTGCACAATTTGTCAATATTTAGTGTTTCCTTCTTAGAAATAATTTTTGTTAAGTTTCAACATCAAGAAAACACATCTATGTGGCAAACAGAGAGGAATCAGACTGATAACAAAACCAACACCTGGTTTTGCTCAAGTGAATAACTGTAATCAGAGAGAGTAATCAGAGAGTAAGAGACTGCCCCCAAGGGTTCCACCAGACTTACTTCTGCAGAAGGGGTAGGTGATAATGTCCTTGGAGACTGCAAAGACATAAAAAACAAGGTTATAAAATATCATTGCATACACCGGGCCAGAAAACGGTAATCTAAACATCGCTGCAGATACTCTGATATATGGCAATGATGTAGAGTGGCAATGCAGAAATTACTGAAGCCATTCCAGCACTGGAACTTGCTTTTTCCACATTGCTCAGGAACTGGTCCATAAATCATTGAAGTTTAAAGTTTCTGGAAGAATCTTTATAAGCGTGATTAATTCAGTCAAGTATCATGCAAGATCATCTTAGCCATCTAATCATTGTGGTAATTAAAACATAGCTGTGAAGATCAAAATCAGAAAGAGTTATTAATTTAATAACCATGCCTGTTATGAAGAAATCTTTAAAATGGAAATCAAAAGTAAATAAATTTATCTCAGAGCTTTGCATGGAAAATCAAAATACAGAATATCTTGCAGGACGAAGCGTGTTTTTCCTCCAACGCACACACTCTGGCAAAAATGTGCTTCTCCCCAAGGCCTTACATTTCATACCCATGCAAAGGAGCACGTAGTTGTCATCAACATTTCTTTGATATGACCTCCTTTAAACCTCTGTGTTCCTCCATGGTTACGTAAGAACAGACAGGAATTACAAGCAAGTGTAGTGAAAGAACTGCACAAAGGCCAGTGGGCAGAAATATGCACAATACCATGAAAAGTTTCTATAATGCAGATAGGGAAACTGAGGCAGCAAATACCTTTAGAAATGAGACATATGATTATGCGTAGGTTGATGGTATGAACAAGAATGATATAATTACCAGTTCTGTGCCCTTTAATCACCAGACAATTTGAAGCTGGAAGATGAGGACCTAATTATTTTCTTTGTGCACAAAACTTCAATATTATTTATCATAATAAACTGGGCAAGCAATTATGCTTTTAAATAAGACTATAATTATTACAGAATGATATAGTTTTAATATAATATCTCAGAAGCTAAACTGCAGATTCTGGCCTAACTACTACAGTAATGTACAACAGCAGTAAAGTACATGCAAAATTTCTGCTATTAAATATCTAGCTTTTTATTTTGCACTGAGAGACCATCAAATCTCACAGAGCTGGTGACACTGGGAATGCAAAGTATCCAAACAAAGGAGTGACATTTTTTTACTGGATACAGAATGTCTCCTTTTCAGCAAGTTTCCATAAAGCTTTTAAAGACTGCTTTTGCCACTCTCAGTCAAAGCCTTGAATGTCTTTTACATTCTTATTTTCTAATTCTCTAAAAGTTTGCTCCATATGAAACATATCATACACAGTGCTTTGCAGCATCATTCTCCACAAAAAAATGAGAGCTAATCTAAAACTCTTAATATGAATCAAAAAAGCACATGTTGTGAGGTGCATTCCCACATTTAGCTATTAGTAATTCATGTGTTACTCTAAATAAACAAATTTCCATCACCTGCTGTGGTTACCTAGATGCTAAGGTGGTGGCTACAGTAAAAGCTAGTCACAGGAATCTAAGACTGGGAAGGCAGCCCAGAAAGTAGCCTGCTGAATCCATGTATTATTTCCTTTCATATATTTCTACTCCCTCGCTACCTGGCATCACCTTGTTGCTTTTTGAGAAATGGAACCACACTCTGCAACCAATTTACTGTTTATTGTGCACAGGTGAGCTGTCATATCTCAAACTCTGGGGCTGCCAAGGGATATTTGGTTCTTCAGGGTTTATGAGGTCTTTTAAAGCCTGGTAAATTGCAGAGTCCACGCTATAATCAGTTTGAAATACACTGTGCACATGACTGAGTAAAGCAGCTCTTTTCCAGAACAGTAATCCTGTGGAAATACAGTGATAACTCCAGATAGGGAAGAGGAAGGGGAATGGGAAAAAGACCCATTCTCATCAAAGTTAGAGCAAAACCTCTACTGCAACAGGCCCAGTGCTCTACTGCTTTGACATCTGAGGGGGTGCTCCAATACCTGAAGTTGCACAAGTCACTTTGTGCTCTGGGGAGTTTCTACAAACTTTGTAGGTGTCCTTCTGTAAAACAAGTTCTCACTGATGCCATTTTAACTGTCTTTTAATTGAAATACTAGGTGGGATGCCTCCTCCATTTTGAAGCATCTATCACATTAGAAAAAAAATCCTTTTCTCATTTTACAACAGCTTGTTTACTGAAAGCTGCTACAGACATTCAGTGCTTTCAACAGACAGAATAAATAAAGTAAAGGACACAGAGCTAAAAAGTTCTTTATCTCTCTCTCTCTCTTTCTTTATATACATATATATATGTATATTTATATATATATATATATATATATATATATATATATATATATATATGCAAGCAAGGTCAGAGCTGAGAAAAGACTTCAGTACTCATCAGGTTGCTGCTCACAGGGCAGAATGGCAGGACCTGAAGAACTTGAGTACCTGACGGTTTCTGGAATCATTATCACTCTGTTAAGGACCAGTTCGGGTAGCAAAAATTAATTTGCAAATCTTATTTGTATCTTTTAATCTCGTGCACGTTCGGAGCTCACCCGCGAGGGGGAGCTGTGGGAGAGCGATGCTTCCCTAGCTCCACGAACATCGGGATTCTCCTGAAAAAGGGACCAGGAGTGGGAAATCTGGCAGAGCATTTCCCTGCCACTGCAATGAGGATGACAGTCTCATGCTGTGTTTTCCCACTTTCTGTGGCTCAAGTATGTCATTGTCTTGTAGCTCATTCCCCATAATTAAGGTTTGTCTCCATTCCTGGATTAACTTTGGTGTCTCTTGCACATTTCCCTTGTACACACATAAATCTTTCTTAGCTGAGACTGGTGATCTTTTTTTGATTTTTTTTTTTTTTAATCATGGTGAGGGGCATTTCTAGTGTACAAGAATAAACTCAGGGTCCCCTTTTACTGAACACCACCACACACACCTCCTTTGCAAAGAGAATGCAGGTTAAATCACTCAAAAGTCTGCAAATCCCTGCCATGACTAAACATGTCACCTCCTTTGCTTTTTGAAGATGATGGTGGCTGATGTAGATGTACCAAGATTGTTGTCACTCGACTATCACAACACAAACACAAGGTAAAGGGACTGCTCCACCCCAATGGCCTTGTGTTCTCATTAGGGCAAGGGGAGGGAGGAGAAACAGACACAAAGAGGTGAGGCAACTTGCCCAAGGTGACAGAAGTCAGCAGTAGCATTGTGTGAAAAACCCAGTTCTTCTGTTTCCAGAACAAATTTCTGTACTCACTAGAGATCAACTGAATTAAATGCTGGTGAAAATATGATATAAGGAAACCTCAAAGGTTTTTCCTTATTCCCAGGACAAGCATAAAAGCAGGCAACTTACTCCATACTGCTTTATCAGCTTCCAACATACTGCTTTGTCAGTGAGCAGCTTCCCTTTAAGGATTAACAAATAGTTCACCTTCTCTGATGAAATTAGTTTTTCCTCTGTAACTAACAAGACTTGTGTTTGTAGTGGGTTTTGTGGAATGGTTAGGCCTGTTGGAATTGGTCAGAGGTCACCAATGGTGACCACTCAGTGGTTCTGAACCAGGTGCCAGCTGGATACACTACCAACATAAATCAGAGGGGAGAAATTCTGTAATCCTCCTGACCTGGTAATCTCTTATTTTATTCCTGAGCTGAACAGTCTCCTGAATTTCCAACTCATGTTATTATTTAAGAAACTAACCCTATAAAACACTAAAGGACAAAGGAGAAAAACTGAGGGAGCTCTGGCCTGCTAGTGGGCAGAACACTGCTAAGAAAGCAGATTATCAATCACACTGATCTGGGCATCTCCAGACCACTGGTGCTTGAATGATTTACTGTAATTCTTTTTTCCTCTGCTCAAATTCATCCTCAATTCAGTCACAATCAGTAAAGTCACTGAGATTGCAAGGAGGTAAATCCTTTCCCATGTCCATTTAGATTTGCATTCAGGAAGTCTGATTTACAGACAGATGGTATTACATGACAAAACCTGCTTCACAGTCTGCACTGGTATCATGTAAATAGTAACTGCAGCTATGGAAATTCACCTGAGAAAACTGGGGACCCTACAATCCAAAAGATACCTTTAAATACAAATTTAAAAATAGAAAATAGAGATAGCTTTCTCTTATACTTGCATGATACAGGAATCCTTAGTACATATCAGCAGTTTAAAATGTGAGGCAGGTATTTCTATAACGCAGTTAACCTGCTTTCCCAAGTGGAAGAGCACCTCATTCCGACCCAGCTCAGATTTTATCCAGAACGTCTGGCAAAGTGCTCCAGCAATATATTTCCCTTCAGTGTGTGTGAGATAAAGTATCCTGCTGCTCTTACTCCTGCTTCTGCCATAGGATATCGTGGTATTCCTCACATTGTGCTGTATCAGTGCTCCTCAGCACAGCGTGAGGCTTTTGCCCCACGTTCTGCACTTTGCTGTACCCAAAGATGAGGATATCCATGAGAGTTATGAGGATTCACCCAGAGACAGCCTGCAAACCTCCCCCCTGCCCTTCCTCTGCCAGTGGCCGGTGTTGTTGTAGGTGTCCAACTGTGCATTTTCACACACGAGGCATCATCATGAGTGCTCCCATTAACCCCAGACAAAACAGACAAAAAGCACTGTGAACAGCAGCAGCAACAGTATCTAGGAGTGTCAATTAGAAGCGAAGCAGGCTCTGCATAAAGCACACAGCGGAATGAGTTGCTTGTTGGTTCATTACCTCTCCAAGACTCTGTCTCTCCTGTCTGTCCTCGTAGGCGGAAGTGTAGAATGGCTCATAAGTAATTAGGTCTGGACGTTCAATGTCATAAATAGCCTTGACTTTGGGAATGGCTGCTAAATCCTTGTAATCAAGGATTTCATTGTCTACTTTTGCCTGAAGGTCAAAGACAGAAGATAAATTAACTTACACAAATGCACTGGCAATTTTCTGTTTTACACAATTTATGATTTTGTGTATTTGTTGTCACACTGTTGCTACGGAAAACTCCTTTTAGCACTCTACATGCAAAGTGAATGCTTCTTGTTCTTCTCCAGCAGGCCTCCTCTGCAACAGCTCACACCGTTTTCTTGGGTTAAGGAAGAAAGAACACGGCATATATAGTTCTATATTAAAAAGTTTCTTATCCCCAGTAGTGAGCTGAAAACCTCAGCTCTGCAAATGACTCGCTTTGTGGCCTCAGGCAAGTATTTTCACCTTTCTGCTCTTGTTTTCCCACATGTAAAATGTGTAATAACATCGATTTAGCTCGCAGATTACGGAGATTACAAGGGGATTCCATGCTGGAGACCACAGACAGGTATTCAACTGTGCACACAAGAGGAAACAGAACTTATTAAAAGGAAATAAAAAGACAAGGAGGACTGTGAGGACTGGGTATCCAAACTCCCAAATGAAATTATTAAATTGCAGTCATCACTCATCCTATACCCAAACTTCTGACTAAGACATCTGCTGCTGACCAACTGCATGGCACTGGCAACAGCATTTTCCACTAAGGCTGCAAGGAACTCTTGACTAGTTAAAAAAGGGAAGTAGGAAATCTGTCCCAAAGCCAGCTACATACATCAGAAGGAGCTAGGAAGACTCCTTATACTTAGTTTAGAGAGCTAATATCTTTCCTTACAGAAAGATTTCTAAAAAGTATCATCATAAATTTTTACCTACCTTAAAGAAGGAAGATACTCAAATTGTTTTTCAACACTTCTACTAGATATTTTATTTATTCATAGTAGGCTGCATAACGAAACCACATTCAGTTCTGTTCTTTCTGAGTACTAGGGTCTAGTATTTTCAGATTAACATGCATTTGCCTTCCCAAGCTCTCTAAGAACCACTGGTCTTGGCGGTTCTTAAGCAATGCCATAAACTAGAAACAATACAGAACAGTTCTGAAGTAGCTGGGAAATTCACTGTCTAAAAATAGCCTCAAATCTGTTTAGCTTTTACTTACCAGATATTAAAAAAACACCTTAAACAAATGTAACCTTAAAATATGTAGGTATATTAAGATGATATTGCTGTAGTATTTATACCACAATCTGTTAATGAGACACAAATATGTCCGGATATTCTTAAACCAAAACTTGAGATTTGTAATTTTGGTGATTTTTCTGCATTATTATACACGAAATTGATAGATTTCTCTGTCTAAGACTACATTTTCACCTATACAGTCTCAAAGGTATCCATAAAACCAACGATTCAGCATTATGGTTGGCAACATTTTTGATCTTAAATACAAACCACCCTTCCTTTCACAACTAAAACATCTGAGTTCTGAAACAGAAGGTGTTGTATCAGCCAGGCTTCTTTCAGTGTAGCTGACCCTCCTCCCCACGTCATGCAAGTGCAGACAGCAGATCTCTCCAAAACTGTGTATCAAAGTGCACAGATCTCCTCACACAACCCCTACAAAGCCAAATGACCCGTCTGCCTTCTGTCCCTCTTCACATCACAGAGTGACTTCAAGAGATTTACTGTATCTTTCCAAGGGAAATGTGACCTGGAAAAGGCCTGTTCTGCCCTTGAAGTCCTACAGTTATAAAAGCTACATGAAGAATTAACAATTTCACCACTAGAATAAAGGCACTGGCATCAGTGTAACAGTGATTCATTTCAGCGTGAGTGTTTTATGTGCAAGCAGCCTATTCCTCGGAAGGAATACTTACATAGATAGTGTGGCCTGGAGAGCCAGGTATACTGGAACCTGGTCTGGAATAAATACTTTCTGATGACGTTCTTGTAGGCTGAAAAACAAAAAGGAACTTTTGAAAGCAACCTGAAGCCATTAATGTTGGTAATTTTGAGTTTAAGTGAAGAAATCTGCACACATCTTGAAATTAACTGAATTTAGGAAAAAAATGTCAACACAAATGCAAGCATTCTGGCAAATTTCACAATCTTGTGAGGCAAGTGGGCTTTTTTTTTTTTTTTTTTTGGTAGGGGAAGGAGTGCCGTGAGAGGGGAAAGAGGTTTTCTAAATCAAACAATGTAAAAGACTAGACTGACAACAATAATGAACAAAATCAAACAACACCTGCCAGAGACACTGCAGGAGCCAAAGTACCATCCAGGATAGTCCTGCTGGTCATTTTAACAAAACGTTAGTTCACAAACCACTAGAGGTATCAGCAGTTCAGCAGACAAAACTGTTGTGAGGAGCACAGCACACACGTTATCACCTTCCAGGTGTTCAGTCAGTGGATTTCCATTACGAATACAGAACTCAATGCAGTCCTTCTAAGTAGAAGGACCTGAAATCCTTTGCTTGGAGCTGTTCCCTGTATCTGCAGCACCATCAAGATGCAGCAGGGAAGTCAAACTGCTGGTTGAAATTCCATGATTCCTCATGCAAAAGTCGTGATGTTTAATGACAATGTCTGAAATTCATGAGAACAGTCCCACCCCTACAAAGTGAGTGCTATTATGTTTAGTAGATTTTCCAATGCTTTTTCAGGACTAAACAGACACTGATGCCCTGGGGGACGCTTTGTGAGTGGAGACAAAATAACTTATCACCGAGATGAGGGGATCCTGAAAACCTGATGAATTAGAAAAACACCTATTCGATCAAAAGTCACTCTGGCTATTGTGGCAATTGCTCCTAAACTTGGCACACAGCAGACACACAAAGGTAGTCAACCACATCCCACTTGCAACTGAGAAATCATGAACAATTTCTGCTCCCTAAGTGGCTGCAAAGAACCAAATCCCATCAAAAAGCAGAGTGTCAGAATAACTCTGATGACAGCCGTGCACTGATGCCACTTGAAAGTGACTTCAAAGTCACTTGAAATTAGACCCTGGTAAACAGTCCTTACCTCATCAGCTTGTGACATTGAACTAAGGGACCTCCAGGCACCCACTGAAGAGAAACAGGGCTTGACAGCCTGGCTCACCGATTTTAATTAGGAAATATTGCAGTGAACACAAAAAGGCTACTGGATCCTTCTTATCTCTAAGCATACATTTCCTGAAAGGATTCTTCAACTGACCTCAGAGACTTCCTACTTTTAATTCCATAGCCAGGAAATCTATTGGAACCATACGTATATAAAATGTTGAAGCCTGATTGTGGATCAGCCAGCAGGCTTTGTCTGACTTCATTTGTGGAAATGAAATCACCACACTCAGGGAGCACCAGAGGAATAAAAGGCTTTGAGTATGTTCCACCAAAACCCGTGAAGATTCAGATCAAACAGAAAGCAGATGTGGCTGTGGACTGATAAAGTCACAAATACTCTCCAGAGCACATTTGAGAACACTTTGGACCTTTACATGTTTCTTTTCTCTCTGTAGCTGCAAATTCCTACATCTCAAAAGGGAACAGAAATTTCTCAGCTGCCCTTAAGCTCCTCCCATGATGCAATCAAACCAGAAAATCCAACAACAACCACTTGTTTCATGGAAATGTTACAAGAATTAAGCTGGAAAATCTGGCTGGTGTTGGAAAACACTTTACTCCCCCTTCCATTCTTCCATTTCACTCTCTTTGAGTGGAGACACATGGAGCATTTTGCTGCAGTTGCTATGGAAAACAATTGTTTTCATTACAACATAGGGAACAGTATTAAGTGCTTGAGGTACTGTTAGGGGTGTCTCTGTTACCTCTGGCTTTTGGCAGACATACTTTAAGAGTTTTGTCTGCTCAGTTCTCCACGTTGTAGGAAAACAAGTCTTAGAGGCAGTTATGGCTTCTTCCCACTTGGCAGGCCCTTTGGATCTTTCGTAATTGCTTCAGAAAACCAGAAATTCTCAGCCCTCGACCCACCTCCTTAGTCTCATCTCTTAGTGTAACTGCTAATATCCTTTTCATTTAAGGAAAATTCACTTGCATTCATCACTTTGGTGAATTTATTAAAAAAAGTCAGACACCTTAAGAAGATAGTTTCAGCCATATCCTGTTAACAGCTTTCTTAGGTGCTCTTAAACCTGGAGTACAGGAGCAGTGGTCAGATGGACTGGTATGTTGTGGCACCTGTTCCTCATTTCCTCACTGTGTTTCTGCTCCAAGTTCCTTATTACCATCCCATTAATAAGGCCATGAGCCAGATATGACACCCTTTAAACCAGTTTTCTATTTTATGTAATTATTTCTGTGTGCATCAGTTTTACCTTCCACCTACTGCAGAGCTCCACACTGCCTGGGCAGGATGCCATCCTGCCATCCACTGCCTGAGCACACACTGCTCCTTTCCTGAGGAGCTGAATCCAAGCAGACCTGGAATTCTGAGGCTCCTCTATTAGCTCCCAGTCCTGTATCTTGCTTACATTTATAACATACCCTCAAAGACAGTGCATGAAAAAGGATTATACATCTACTCTCACCCTTCCTGCCTCACTTTGCCCTGTTTCTTGTTTTGAATTACACAGGCTGTTTCCATCACAGATGGCTGTTTCCTTCTCTGCTGCTTCCCATATGGTCTGGAATCCTTCACAGCTTTTGCACTTTCCCCTAAAGACAATTGCATTGTACTTGAAAACATTTATGCTGCTTGCCTTAACAAACACACACTAAAGATTCCTAGATAAAAGCTGTTCCTCTGACATACTTTTAGTTGCTATGGTTGGCTCCTCTCCTAACAGACCTGTAATAGCTCCTGACTGAAAATCTGTGACCAGGTACGGCTTTTATTCGATTGAACATTACATTTTCATCAGCAGTTGAGAATCCCTGACCCTGAGTAACACCACCCTGACTTTTTACATTAAACAGCTGTCTAGAGATACATTGGAGGTCAAGTTCTATGTTGATGTAACTGCAGTGGGGTGTAAATTCCACCTTAGAGGGGAGCTGATCAGAGCACAGGTAAATAGCAGGAATAGTGGCTAGCCCTGATGTAACCTTTAACACTGGAGATGTGGAGGTATCATGAGAGCTTGTCTTGCACACATTATTGGAAAAAAACAGGTAAAGAAGAAGGAAACAATCTTTAATATGAACACAATAATTTAGAGGTATTTATGTCCATCACAATAGCCCTGTGATACTTGTTCTACACTCCCAGCAACCGAACAAGTTAAGCTGCCTCACTCCTTCTACAAACAGATCTGGAACATTTTTTGTATTGTTCTTTTACTTGAAGGAAAGAAAGTAGAGCTTTTCATAATGCCACTTTTGTGCAGAGAAATTTTAAGAAAAATTCTATTAAGAACTAATCTTTAATTTTTCTTTTCTTGTGGTACATGGCCTTTCTCCACTTTTTCTGACAGCAGAAGAGTCATCATTTTTTTTCTTTCATCTTCCACGCAAATGGATGTAACAGTAGCAAATATATCAATATGGGATGTCTGTACCAAATACAGAAATTCTATGAAGTATATGAAAAAAATCAAGAGAAATTCAGTCAACAAAAATTCATGCATGTCATTAAAGGAGCCAAAGGAAAAAAACAGATCACAAAGCATCTAAAGTATCTACAGGACTACTCAGTATTTCCCACTTTATCACAGAGTGTTTATTTTTATGTTTTTGTTCTTCATTTCATGCATTTGACTTCAATGCAGAAGTTCTTTACCAGTTTCATTTGCAGACTGGCAGAGGTAATTACCGACTGTCATGCTCATCCTTAGGCTCACTGTGAATTGAGTGTTCAATTACCATATCACCCATGCATATGCCCCAAATTGATACACTTGATATTTTAATATTAGACTGCAAAGCTTAAGATGTTCAACTGCATTTACCTCTGTTTGTCATGTCATCATGCACGGTGCACCATCTAAATAAATAACTTCAAAAAAAAAAAAAAGAAAAATAAAGAATCGAGCCTAGAGCCATTCACATCATCCAAATGCCGCTACAATGTGGTGGCTCTGGCATTCTGAAGTACAGATGTTCAGCATCATGCTCTATAAAAACTTACAAGTGCAGGCAACCAGATCAAAACTGATCCCAAGAACATCTGGCCAAATGGATGCACTACTGCTTTACAAAGGCATCGTCCCCATTTACAGTACCTGCCTTAATTTTTTGATAGAGTTCATTATGCAAGGCGGTGATAATAGCTGCAGAAGAACGAATATGTTTTCACTTAATAACACTTAACATTACAGCTTAAGCAAATTCTCTAAACCTCAGAAGCTACTTTAAGTGAAGCACGGCTGTAAATAAGCTATTAGAAGTTTAGGATGGAATATCTTCTACCAGGCTGACACGGCTTTGCAACACCAAGGAATTTGGGATTTCTCAGTACAACACTTGTTACTCTGACTACCTGCTTCATCAATTGCAAGGTTTTGTAGTTATTTAGGGCTTGGAACCAGAGTTCATAAAACATGGGCTTCCTACAGATTTCAATAATTTCCAGTGGCTGTGTACAAGATCAATAGAGCCCCTCAGTGTCAGAGCATTCATGGTGCCTGTCTGCTGTTTAACTGTACCCTCCTCCTCACAAGGGTGTTTCCTTCAAATGCATGCATTTCTTATTTCTCTGCACTGTATATGCATCAAGACAAAACCAGTGAACAGGTTTAGTTCAAACTGACACAAACACAGGTATTAATATGTTACAACTAATTTTTCTTTCCTTTTTAGGCACTAACGCCAGAGACGAGAATGAATTTGCAGCACGTAATTACTGCAGGTATGCTGGTACCAAACAAACAAGACTACTCATGCAAACTTAGTCTTCATCAAGAGTCAGTTAAGAACAGGACAGGAAAGAACAAGAAAATAAAGTGGGAAGCCCAGAACATAATTCAACACAAGCTTCTCAGGGAATTTGCAGGGTTTCACCCTACCATTTTCAATCTACAGTTTTCATGTAGATTCAAACCTCTGGCCTGCCTTTACAGTAACAGCAATGATACTATCTTTGTGTCTACTCTGCAGAACACTTGAAGCCAAATTCTGCCTTGAGTTACACTTTGTAGAATCCGCACATAAATCTAAACACAATTTAGTACTGCCCAGATTTACACAAGAGGATATTCATCTGACCCTCAGCTATTTGTATCCCACACAGTCTACAAAGGAAGGAAGAGAACATTCCTTGATTTTGACGTGGGCTGCTCCTATTTTGTCTTGCATATTTTTCTAATACATTGGATAGGATTTGGTTTTTTAATCCTAAAGCTCCTGGATTTCAGCGCCAGAAACTCAGACTCGAGCATGCTAAGCTGAATGCAAAAGTCACTACACTGATCTAAAAGATGAGTGAAATGGTCCCACAGTTTGCTGTTCTTAGACTCCAACATCCAATTCCATAAAGCCTAGGACTGAAGAGATGCTCTCTTAGGAGCAGGGATAACACACGCTGTATTTTCTTGATAACACAGATCTGTAGCTAACAGAGAGCAGAATTCAAGTGCAGTTAAGTGACTAAACTACTGTGCAGGACAAAGGGTAAAAGTCTTGCATTAACCCCCATTTAATCACAGCATTGGATCCAACTTCACCTAAGACCATCCTGCAGATTGGGTCTAACACAGACATCCTGCCCTGGCTGACATTCGACCACATCTACTTTGCAATTAGAGATGTGAAGGCCACATGAACTGACACAATGGAAATCCAGTGGCATGGACTCTCTCAGCCTGTCTGCCCACTACCAACCTGTGCTTAGTCCATACCAAAGCATTCTGACTTCATCACCTGGTGAAAACTACCTCAGGTGCATCTGCATGCAGCACAGCCACATGTCCCCCACAGCAGACACATCTAATAAATAAGCACTGCCCTGAAGGAGAAGAAATGGAAGTGGGTGGTGTTTTTAAGGGCAAAGCAAACACAACAAAGTCTGAAAGTAGAAAGCTACTGCAGAATCAAGAGGACAGGGAAGACCTTGCAACTGAGATGTGGATGTGCGCCAGATGAGAGAGCGGTAAATGCTCTCAGGCAGCACATGGAATATGTCCAAACCTGGAATTTTGTAAACATTTTCTCCACTAAAGTATTCATGTGTATTTGGTCAATACATATAAAAAAGGAACTGATTTCACTTTTAACTTTTAACTGATTTTTTTTCCTAAAAACATAGGTCACTGTTCATGGAAAACAATTTCTTTTTAACCATCACTTTAAAGTCAGATGCTTTTCACCATTTTCATTTGCTTCATATTTGCACTCTAATTTTTTGTTTCATGAGAAAAACTCTCTAGAATACTGGAAGATCAATACTACAGCCCCCAAAAGCTCATCTGAATCTAAAAAAAAAAAAAGTTAATTTTAAGCATTTCATTAAACAAAATAAAAAATGTGAGCATTAACAAGCAACACTGAAACAAGTGATGCAAAATACAGCGTCAGTGCCCATGGTGGCAAGTGATAGCAGGAAAGCTGTGTGGCAGGAGTAGTAGCAAGTGCAGCAAATGACAGTAATGAAGAATCTTCTCAGTAAAGAAGATCATTATCAACACTATGAAAACACAACAGCAAACCTCTGCAGAGCGTGGCCTGCGCAGAACCAGACTCTTTGGATAAAAGAACTCAGATGAGGAATGCTGTCATGAAACACAAAAGGGAAAAATGAGTGAAAAGGAAAGCAGTTTCCCCAGTTCAGTGGTTAAGCTCTTTTTCAATCAAGTTGCTAATATCTGTTTTAATATCTTATGTTACTTACTGATCACTGTAGAATCATGAACAGCCAGACAGTTTTAAATAAACACCTAAGCAATATATATTATGTGGTTGGTTCTGTTTTCTGTTTGTTTTGGCTTTGTAATATTGCACAAATATCCATGGGGGGAAGATCTAAAGCAACCACTGCTTTAATGAACTCCCTTCGCAGATCTTGACCAGCTAGAATGCTGATTAGTTTATATCACAATTCAGTTACTAAAAGAAAACAGAACTTGCTGAAAACTTCTGAAGTTACTTCAATGGCAAAAGGGCTTTTTGTTTTGTTTAGTTTTGTTCCATAGGGAAAGGAAACCCAGCAAGCAAATAGGCAATGGCACTGGCTTTTTGCAGAACCACCAGAAAATCTAGGCCTGACCCTAGTGGCTATTTGTCATCTCAAAAACCAGGTTCCAATTCTCACATTAGGTCTAAATGTATGTCATAAGAAACTGAAATTCAATTAAAATACAATTCCTAATTTAGTGCTGACATGCTCGAATAGCACATAGTTCCCCCAGTTTTGTTTGTTTCTGTACCTACCTGTTTGCTGCTGCCTCCATTTGGGTCAGCAGAATGAAGCACGTGTCAAAGTCATCAAACTCCAACTGATTCTAAAGTGTCTGACTTTGCACTAGAGTAGACAACCTGTGATACAGTGTTGAAGCTAAAATTGCTCCATCCCTCAGCCAGCTTCAGTGTGGTGCATTTGTCAATGCCTTTTAAAGACATATTAAACCTCTGCATAGAAGCTCTCACTCAGGAACAAGGCAACAACCTTGGATAGCTGTGCTGCAACATTTCTCAGATGTCCTCTCAATACACCTTCTTTCACTTCATTTTTCCTGCAAGAACTCACTTAAAAAGAGCCTTGCAGGTGAATTGATTCATTTACTTCATTCACTTCAATTAAAATTAGCTGAGGGGTAAGAATACTGAGATGTTAAAATGTGTGACAGAAAAAAGGAAAATACTTGAGGAGGACTATGGGACTTCCATGGGGAACTGAAGTAAACCAACTGATCTGTAAGGTCAGCTGGAGAAGGTTTGTAAAGGCTGCAGTGTGGTCAGGAGTGCTTTGATAAGACTCCTGGGTCCTAATGAAAGGGAGGTATTGTACCCCAACCATTTACTACAAAGCACAAGTGTTCTGACACTTAAGCATGGCCAGAACACTGACAAATTTACATTCAAATTGTTAAACGAGGAAGAAAATCCAGTCTGGCACAATTTTCCATTTTCTTATGAAAAGTCAGCACAGGACAACGTGTGAATGCTGGATGGTACCTGCATTGATGTTAGGCCATTCTAGACCACGTGCCCATGTAGGACCAATTATACTTTTGCCCACACTAACATGGACTCTGCTCAACGAGAATTTATCTGCACATTACCTACGATCATAATAAATTCTCTGTAGAGGATGTTTTACAGACCAGTGTACTGAAATAAACACTAAAGAATGTGGTTCCCTGTGAATGAAACCCACACAGAATACAACCCACAGGGTACTGTAGGTGTCTCCACACCAGTACCTCTTAGTTTCCCTGTCTGAAAGACATTTTATTCATATGCAGTCTCTAATTCTCACATTCTGACAAATTAGCAAAATTCAAGAGACCAACTGAGACATCAAAAAGAGTAAACTGTCCAGAAGATGAATTAGTGAATAAGGGCTTAGAATTGCCTGGTGCACACAAAAAGCCAGGCTCTAGCATTCATCAGTGCAGCATCATTGTCACTGAGGATTTGATCCAGAAGGTTTGTCTGGATATGCTGAAGTGACTCCAAGGGTAACTGTGGCTCTTCTTGGCATTCAAATTAGGTTTAGGTTGTATGGCAAAGGAAGAAGAGTTCATCTTGTCTAAATGCTACAAATAACCACTCAGAACAGGGGATAACTATAAAGCAATTACACAGATGTGCAAACCCACTAAGATATATGGTAGCATTTGCCCTGTTCATATCTTCTCCTTAAGAGTCTCTCTCACAACAATTGAGATATGAAATGAAGTGTCTTAGATACTTTGCCACGTCTGTATGTCAGTAAATGACACTATCTTTAAGGCAGTGCACTGAGACAGGTATGTGAAGGTGGTAAGCCTAAAAATCAGAGCAATACCTCTGAAGTGCCTCCACTGAATATTCTGCCAGAGTTGTGACAGCTATGCGAAAAAAACATGGAAAAAGTCACTCTTTTAAAAACAACATTCAATTATCACGTGTGCAAAATGTAGGGAGTGTCATTGCCATGAATTCAGCTTACCCGGAGCTTATCTTCTGTCTTAGTGGATTGCTTACAGTCGGGATGCCAGACAGTGGAACCTGAGGGAGGAAAAAAACCACCACCTTTATTCAGAGCAAAGCAGATGACTTCTGGTCGTGACAAGCCAGTTATGAAAGCGAATCACTTCATGGCATCGGGTGGTGAATCTGTATGAACCACGTGAGCAATTCACATTAACGTCTAGTTCATGAGAGATACGAGTGAAACAAAAAGATCTTAAAATCCCTGGCATGTCTACAGCAGCCTCATCCTGGGGCTGCCAAAGCACTTTGCACACATTCTTAATTAAAACTCAAGCAGCCTCAAGTAGCAAGAGAGTCAGCGAGCACCAGCTGGAGGAACAGAAAGACAGAGGGTTCCTCTGGCAGGACGGAGGGGAAGAGCAAAGGAACTGGGCCATGGTTACCTGATCTGTTCTCCCCTTATGTCCTACACCACATGTAAAAAGGAAGTTCTGACTCTAAGTCCACTGAGCAGTGGGTGTCATATTCAGTTACTGTAAAGTATCGCTCAGGTTACTTCTTCCCTGCACTGATGCAAAATGAAAAGCAAAATCAGAAAATTCACGACACAGCAGGGTCAGGGCTGTAGAGGCCAGCAAGGCAGGTGGTGCAAAGCAGCACGTGAAAGAGCCTCTCCCCCAGATCCCAGCACACTGCATATGCCATTGGCACACACATCACTCCTACCCCTTGCTCTGTAAGGTCAGTGGCACGTGTGGCACTGGTGTTGCCACACGGCATATTCCAGCTATATACGCTATTAAGAAAGTCGGGGTCTCTGCCGTTTGTTTCCCAAAATATGGGATTCTTTCATGCCTTAAAAATGGAAATATCCGTCCGTTCCCAAGGGCAGAGCAATGGTCAGGAGCAAGGAGCATTTTCATCCCATTTCAGTTCTCCTTTGGAGCAGAGTGTAAAATGTGGTCACTGCTGGGAAGCTGCTGGCAGGTATCAGCCCAGTTGAAACGGAGCAAAAAGTAATGCTGGTATTTAACACTGACTGCATCTGCAGTCAAATTCGTACTTCATTCCAGTCACCACAAAGTCAATAAAGAGCCTTGACTATCTGCAGGGGGGAACATCACCTCTTCACTCTGCCCACAGACAAACCAAACAGAGCAGTCCAGGTCTCCTGCTGGTGACTGTTAGCTGAAGTGCAGCCAGAGGAAACCCCACCCTCAGAGCCCAGGGGAGGTATGGGTCAGAACCCCTGGAAATTTTGTTCTGATTGACCCTTACATGGCGTGGTACAGAAATGAAGACCAGCAGGAGTCATTTCACTTCCCAGCAGTACACAATATAACCATCATCAGGAGACAGGAGAGAACGCCGTGACTCTGGATCAAGGGTCTGAGATGTTTGTCTTTGAGTCCAAGCCGAGGAAGAAGAAACTGTGCGTTTGGCAGGGGGAAACCATCAGACAACAGGGAGAAGTGAACCAACAGCCTTCTCTGTAAACAAACAGCAGCCTCAGTGCCAGGACCCCACAGCGCCTGCCAGATCAGGAGACAGGCGTGCCCCGTCCACTCAGGAGGAAGAGAGATCATGTTGTAAGTCTGTATCGTGTTATAAGAAGTGATCTGAGTAACACTTTACTGAACATGACACTCATTGCTCGAGGATGAGCAAAGACTCAGAAGGTTTAGGTTCAACTCTCAAAGCCAGCCCTGAGCTTCTTTCCCGTGTGGCACTGAGAAAAATGATCCCTATTCCTCTGTGCCTCACTGTTAGATTAAGAGTTGGAGTTGATGATCTTAGGGGTCTTTCTAATTTTTGTGATTCTGTGATTCTTTCCTATTAAATTATCGTCACTATCAAAGAAAAAGCTGTCACTGCATTTTGGGCAGTAATTATCACAAGCTGGCACAATTTCAGGGACACCACAGGAGAGTGCTGCAGCTGCTGAAAGTGAACAAGAAATGCAACAGCCTTCTGGGCTGCCCATATAATAATGTATTACCAGGTAGTCAATGGGAAAAAGAAAGTTTCTGGAGCTGCTTCTTTCTCATTTTTGTGTGTTGGAGAAGTGCCAAGTCAGAGTGCTTCTGCTAGTAGTATTCAAACTATCCTTAATGTAGAAAGCCCCAAGATAGACAGCTTGTTTTCCCATGTTCTCCTTTTGCATGTTTCCCACACATTTCTAATAGAAGTTTCTACCACAATCCTAGCAGGCTCCTCTATTCCCTACAAAGCAAATACCAGCAACAGTACTTTCACATCCTGGGGACAGGACAATTAGAAGTGAGATGGAAGCTGCGTATTTTTATGGATTTTATCAAAAATGTGATTTTAGTTCTAGCTTCACTGTTGTGGTGGTGTATTTTTAATTCAGAGAAACGCTTGGAATGGTGTTATTCTGCACCCTAGAGAAAATTATTTGGATGGAGTCACGATATACCTTTTAGCTGAGAGCTCTGCACAGGAAAGGCTTTTGCATCCTCACACTTAAAAGTACGCTGAATTCAGCAAGGAGAGCTTTGGCAGTGCAGTCTGAAGCACACTCAGCAATAACATTATTTAGTCAGAAAACAGCCTGTGAACAATAAAGCAACTCAGGCTGCTCCTCCCCTGAGATGGAGTGAGCACAAGGAACATTGATTCACAATCACAGAGAGAGAGATACAGCTAAAAAGAGAAAAACAGCAGATGAAGCAGCCAGGTTTCTCTCCTCTCCACTATCACCTAAACTTGGACAGGACAAAGTCTAGCCTAGTTTAAGTAGAATCAATGCCTTCTGTATTATTTTTATCTGTAGAAATTTAAACCAGAGCCTGCCCAATCAACCCGGCAACTCCCACTCTCTGCTGGACTTGTTCAAATGGCATCAGTCACAAACAGTTGTTATTAATAACAGCAAAGGATGAACTGATGCTCACCTCAAACTCTGCCTGTGCTTTATCACATTATGATGTGAAGAAACTGAGAAGATTACCAGTTGCCAGATGCTGTAACTGCTGCTTTCAAATTAGTCTTTTCAATTTGTCATCAGAAAGCAGTACTTCCTAGCCAGCCCTCTTGCTCCTGCAATGCAAAGCTGCTACACAACTTGACATCCAGCTCTCTGCACAGCTGGAATAAGATGACTAAGGTAAAAGGTCAGTGAGAGATGAGAGAGATGGACTACAAGGGAGGGCAAACTACAAAATAAAACAAGTCAGCTTCAAAGGAATTCCTTAACAATATTATCTTATTTTGGAACTCCTCCAGAAAGAATCTCTCCTGAGGATTTCAAGAGATGGCTGCAATCACCCTCTCATAATTTTTTCTCTATTCTTCTACAGTCCTTTTCAGATATAGCAAACAAGTTTTCTAACCTAAGAGCAATATACAAAACCTCAGCATGTATCTGCCCTTTTCACTTTGATTTCTAGCTTACATAAAGGGGTATTACACATTCCTCTACCGACATTAATTAATACTACAGCAAGTAATAACAATAACTGTAGCTTAATAGTTAAAGTGCTACATTCTCTGAGAGTAGGTGGGATTCAGATCAAGGCTACTTTTCAATCAAGGAAAAGCAAAAGTTCGGTTTTATGTGAAAAGATCATGAAAAAAACAAGCTTGGCAATACCTGAGAATGTGAGACTGTTAACAAGAAAGAGGAGATGGAAAAGAACATTCAAGAAAGAAGTGACTGTAGAAAGACATAAAAATAAAGTAGACAGGAATAAAAAAAAGAGACATGACCAGATAAAAGGAAAATAGGCAAATACGATTAAGAACCAGAGGAGTTACTCTGTCAATGTGCATGAGGAATGGGATCTACATGGTTCAAAACAAACTCACTGCAGCCTCTAGAAATTTTTCTTTTGCCTTTTAAAGTTTGGAGTGTGGTCCAGAACAGCATAGAAACTGCAGAAATCAGGGGGAAGCCCCTCACTTTGTCTGGTATCTCTCCTACACCAGTCTGGGTGCCAAGCTATCAACGGCACGTGAAATTCCGAGACAGCCTAATAAGTTTCATTTTTGCTACACAGCTTTAGCAAACACAGTCTATCTCAGCTGGGCTACAGAGTCACTGCAAAGCCACAGTTATGGCCACCTAACAGGGCAAAAGAGCTTCAAGTGAAAAAGTATGAGAACATGACCGTAGTCCTCCTTGGCCATATTGCATGGGGATGGTTTACAAACTCCGGAGGTCTGTGACAGAAAAATTCCAAAGTCTGATTTTCCTGTTTTGGAATGGAGACATCCTTACCTTGCAGATACATTTCTTCTCCTTCTGTGAACATTTGGTTGCACCTGCTGCATCGTGCACAGCTTGGATGATAATGCTTGTCACCTGCCTAAAGAAAAACAAAAAAGGGACATGAGGGACAAATGCACTGCACTGCTTTGTGACAGACCATTATTTGCAGACAGACCTTCTCCTTCTAGTTCACCTGTTATGATACAACACTGCCCTCACCATGTGACAATAGCGATCAGAATGTAAGCTCTGCCATGCTTCTTCAGCCCTGAGCTCTGTCCTGTCCTCAGCAGAGGCCAGCAGCAACTACTTGGGAAAAAACACTGTAAGAAACAAGACAATATGGAAGAGCCCTTCCTCTTCACACCTGCCTATTCAGGTAACCAGTGGCTTAAAGTCTTCCTGGCTAGGGGCTACATCAGAATGCCTCTGTTCTCCATGATTTGGCACACATCTTTTTAAATCTTCATCTCCCTAACAGTCCAAGGCAATGGATGTCGCACTGCAGGGAGATATTTGTGTAAACCTGCTGCCTCCTCATTTTGTCAAGCAGCACATTTTCTCAACTGCTCCATTGTCACAGAAGAATTTAGACGATGAACGATTTTTCAACCTGCCATTTCATTTTTTGGCCTTCTTCCTGATACTACTGATATGGGCACTAATGGAGAGAGGTTTCTAGAGCCACTTTTGGGACCATTAACTTGATTCACAGATGCCTGACTCCAGAAGCTACACTGGCAGAGAGAACTTGAGCTGAATTTGAAGTACTGGTGTAAAGGTGCTAAATAAACTAGATCCTGTTACCCAAATCCAAATCCACTGAGTCATTCAGTCTCTTAAATACACTGATACCCATAACAGGCAAAGCTGATCAGATTTCAGGACTATAGGGACAGGAAAAATCAAGGTCCAAATATTAATGTGAATTCTTTTCCTTAGGAGACCAAAGCAATCAATGCACTGGCTTCCTCACATCAGAAACTAAGCGTGCAATGTCCACATCAGACTTTTTAACTGAAAACCAATTAATCCTACAACTAATTAATAGTGACAAGTAATGCCTTCTAAAAGTTTTTAAAAATTGTACCTGGCTTTCCAAACAAGTTAACCTCAAATCCTTTTTCACAAGGATTCACAGAATATTCCCTATACACTGAGATGTGATTTGAAAAAATATCTGTTTAATCTATAGCTGACTTGTACAATGTCGTCAAAACCATTTCATACCTCATTGAACTTAGGACTGTAATATTACTAAACTCAACCTTTCATTATATCTAATGAGAGGATGAAGTGTATGGGTTTAATACCTGACAGCTACCAGAAAACCAACTCTACCACCCACCTCTTAGTAAAGCCACACCATTTAATTTCAACTTAACAATTCCCATGCAGGAATTTCAACAATACAAGGCCAGAGAAGAGGGCTCCATGTGCTGTTAGTTTAGCCATAAATTTCACCGTTCAGCTGCAAAAAACCTGCACTTCTCTTACTCAGATTCTGCCTTTGTTGTTGATTCCTGCTTCTGAGGGGTAAAATCCACGAAACAGGGAGACTAATGTGATTTAGGGTTTTTTGCACAGCATATTTAGAGCTACCAGACAAAAAAGGGTCTCTGATAAAAAGGAGAATGAAAAGTCACTACAAAATATACCTGCTCAAGGAAGAAAAGCTAATGAGGGAGAATTGATGTTTGACTTGAAGCAACAAACCCAATATTGAACTGAGAGAGAAAAACACTCAATGCTCATTCTCTTTCTATCAGTTTCATTACTGGTTGTCCTCTTCATCTGTCACTTTCTAGCAATTTTTTAACCTCTGAGCCATCCCATTAGTTTCATTCAAGACTGGACTTTAAGAAAAAGAGAAACTAAGAACCTCCAAATGTACCTGAAATGTAACACTGGCATCAAACCACAACTGTTCTTGAGTGCAGACATGCAAATAACAGCTACTTTATATTTATATACTTTATATAATAACAGTGACTTTATATTTATATCTATATGTATATATATAAAATAGCTGTGTGTGTATATATATATATATATATATATATATATATATAAAGTTTAGGGCTGTAAATATTGAAGAGGATTCAAAGGTAGACCTCCAATTCAAACAACTCAGCACTCAACAGATACAGACATCCTTTTCTGGATTTTCTGCCTCACACAAACAATATTGCACATACAGAAGAACAGCAACTTTATCTACGTTTGGCCAAAAAAAATATCCCAACTTCTGAGCATTCCTAAAGTTCTTCAGCAGAGTGGGGCCCACAGAGTTCCTTGTCATGAGTGATTTCAGACTTGTTTGATTTAAAGATGATGGCAAATCTGATGTCCTGGGAACCGCTCCCAGTTAATGAGATATAAAAAATTCCCAAGAAGGCTGAATCACTGCCAAAAAGGATCTTCTCCAAAGAGGAAGACAATAATTGAAAAATAGATTTGAAATAATAATACAGGAATCTTTTTCTTTTTTCTTTTTTTTTTTTTTTTGGGGGGGGGGGTTCTGACTGTCTCATCAAGCAGAAGAATATCTCTGCAGCATAACTGTGTCACTTAACAGAGCTCAAATTTCAGTAGGCATATGGTTTTTTATGAAATAAAATTTGTAGTTTCTCTAAAGATATTCAGCAGGGTAGCTAAGGAGCTACACAGTCTGAACTGGAAGACTATGGGGTCTGTTTTATTATTTTTAATTAACCTTTGAGATATCCCGGCTGGGATGGGATTGTGTTCTGTGAGATGCTTACCAAATTCCCAGACACAAAGGACTGAAACTTGCCATTATCAGATGAAGCAGATTTTATAAAGAAATAATTCTCTGCCAAGAACCCTGATGCTCAACTAAGGCAGTGTAGTTTTAAGAAGGGTAGTTGGGATCCAGCAGAGATATCTATAGTAGAGAGGACCATGGCATGTGGACATAGAAGATCACACATTCACACCAGCCCAGTTTCAGCTTCGCTTCTTCTAGTCTGACCTTTCAGGTGTGGTGGTTTGAGTTTCTTTTGACTTTTTATTTGCTTGGCTTTGTTTGTATGCCTTTGTCAAGAAACAAGAAGGCCATGTTGCACCTACATTTTTAAAAAATGATGCACTTAGTTTTTATAACTAGAAGGTGCCAACACTTTGGGTTTTCCATAGATGCTCTGACAGTCATATCCCAGGCTTCTGAGCTTCCTGTTCCTTATTTTGCAGTCAATTCACACCAATTTTGGCAAGTTACTTCTACTAGCCTAATCCATACTTAGTCCTAAAAGAGCCTGTATCCAGTCCATCTAGTGCAAAAGTGAGTCTTCCACTTCTCACTATCATATGATAAACATTCCACTTACTTTCCACCTTACCAAAAAGTTTTTTAAGAGGATCCTTTAAAAAAGGGAGCCTGGATTCAAGTACTCAGCTGTTAATTGCTACAAGCAGTTTACATGTTTTTAAAGCTATTATATACCCTATTAAACTATTTATAGGATAAACAAATCCAGAATTCATCACATTATTATGTGTAGAACTGTGGCCTCTCTGAAGACTTTTTTCCTGGAAAAACTTCTTATATTAAATGATGTACATCTGCCATCTCTTCAAAGCAGGCAGAGACCAATTTCAAGTTTATTGGGTCTTTCCCCAACACTGAAACAACTGGCCAAATTTTAGGCAAGTGTGAGTGATGACTGAACACCACGCCCCAGATAACACAACCCTGCGAAGTCACAGTGCTAACACACCCTGCTCTGGAGAGGTTTGGGGGGAGTTACATTCCACAGCTGCTGCAGTTGTTGTTGAACACTTCCAAAAGAGTTTCACGAGTTTTCTGCCTCAGTGATGTTTCTACAGCTCATGAGTGGGAGCCTTTTCCACAGTGAATATCCACTGGAAAACATTCTGAATCTCAACTAACTCAGGACTAATCTCGCTATGCCTGACTTGCTGTGATCATCTGGGAAAACGGTTGCTAAAAATCAGCCATTTATAATGTATTAAAAAACCTTTTGGATCTACAAGGCAATGAAATATTCACACTTTTTAGACATCAGCTTTTGCCCTTTCAGGACTACTAAACCTTCATGCAGTATGTCCAGTGTGCAGCTTCCTGTGATCTCATGCTGCTGTGCTCTGAATTATAGTATTTGCACCGTAATCCTGATGGCAGGAACAGGTGACATAATTTAAGTGCACATATGCCCCAAACACTCTTCAGCCAAGGTACAAGAGGGTTAAAAAGACACTTGCCTAGCTCTCCTCACCCCTTCTCAAGTTCACATCCAGAAATCCTTTGCAGTTAGCTTTGCAGTTAGGTATTGATTCACCATTCCTCTTAAGATCCTATCTGAACTATTCCAGCCTTGGTTGAGGTTTTCAGGGCTATCCAAACCATCAAGCACAAACTGTGACCCACACCTTAGAGGACTGGCCCTAAACTAAGATTGAGCAAGCTAAATTAATTGCTGTAGATACCTTGATTTTGCTTAGCCAGAAGTGCTAAAACCAACCAAAAATACTATTGAGCACTTTTACTGCCCCTTTGCATACAAATTCTTAAATAGAAATGAATGAACTGACAGCAATTTATTGTCAAGTGAAATATTAAACTTGTATGTTGCTGCCACTGCTTATAAAGTCTCTGTTAAATCATCTGGCACTTGAATTATCCCTAGAAGCAAAGAATATCATTTATCAATTTATAACAATATACAATCTCTTCTGACTTTCCTATTTATCTTCTACCCACGTTGACATATCTAAAATAGGTTCTCAGATTAAATCCCATTTGAACACAGTAGACAGAAAAAATTAGATTAAAAAGAAAGTAGTAATATGTACTCATTTACCAGACATTTCCAGAGCCTTAGAACTGCAGAATGAAGGAACAGTGGCCAAAGATACAGTATAAGCATAATTATGAATGTACCTACATGGATGCTAAATTTGAGTATTTTTCCAAGGTTCTGCAAGTCTCACTGATTGGTGACTGATCAGCAATATATAAACTTTATTTATTTTCTATATACTACTAAATATATATATTATATGCAATATGCACATTACATGCATGTTCATGTAAATAATTCAGCACTAGACAGT